GAGGAGGGGTAGGTGGGAGAATGGGGGGGTTTCTTGGGAAGGAAGATGGATGGGGAGAAGAGATAGGGGATGCAGTGGTTTGAGTTGTTGGATCTGTGAGGGAAGGGAGGAGGGACGGCGGCATGGGTGATTGGTCTACTGGGATGCGGATACTGGGCCTCCTGGAGAGGGGCATGCGAAACCTACTACGACCTTGAGAGCCCCCTGTGTCAGGGTCGAACGCTGATGGAGACTGTATGTTTCTGCTCACCCGCTTGAATGCTACGATTCAGATTCAAGGGGTTTTATGTCATCCAGCGTCTGGAAGATATTCAACCTTGAGGACTTCCACAACCGGGTTTCGAATGTCGAACAGCCCTGTGTGCGGAATACGGCGAAGTGACCTAGCAAGAGCATTTGGTCTGCTGCCAGACAACATGTTGCTTATCAGTCACATGCGATTTTAGGGGGAACGTTGACACGACGCTCAACATCTGCCAATGATTTTCAAACGACTACTTGGACTTCGTGACGCGGAGGTGGCTTTCAGGTGCCTTTGGTACCGAAAGCAGGCAGGCGGCTTCAAGACATTCAGGGGAGGGAATAAAGGCAATCAGTATGGAAGACAGTTTTACTTCCTAAAGTTTCTAGGCTGAAGATAACAGAATCGGCACAGAACAGTGAAGACTAGGCAAGGGGCAAAGAGCCTGTTGGTTCCAAATCATTTTCAATGCTCAGACGATAATATTATTAATATTAATATTGCTCGCCAACTACCTCTAAACCAAGTGGTACCTGAACTTTATGCAAGTTCCTCACTCCTGAACAATAAATCTATATCTTGTCACCTTCGACAATTAAAACGAATAGTCCACCGTCCTACATGCCAGCGGCAAGCATTAAACCATATCCAACAGTGATGACGACGGCAAATGCCATGATACTGCTCGGGATGCCACGGGTAATGAAATGCTTAACACGGAGATAACGTTGTCCCGTCTCGGGAACCTCCATCATGATGGCAGCTATTTGTCACGTCAGCAAAAACATCCCTCAGATAGCGGGACAAGCATCGAACATACTCATATTTGGGAAGCCACTGGTAGGCAAGCCCATCGCCGCAGAGGCCATCAACACGCTTCCCATCACTAGAAGATTAGGATGCGGCTCACTCATACTTGCCCCCACCTGTTGGACCAATGGTAGGATAATTAACGCAGCAACTGTATGGCTAATGAAAGTGGCAACCACGAGAATGAGCCCCGCAAAGACAACAAGCATGCCATAGACGCTCAGATGCGCCACTTTCGCCGTGATCGCTTGGGCGATAGTATGTAGGAGGCCGGACGAAGAAACTGCCTTGCCTAAGGATAAGCCACCAGCTGCAAGGATGATGATGGTCCAGAGAAAGTTGTTGAAGTCTTCTTTGGTGAGAATGCCAGTGCCGAAGAAGAGGACGAGTGGGATGATGGCTATGACGCCCATGTCGCCGAGCATGAACTCGAGTTGGCGGCTGACGCACCATAGAGCGATGGTCAGAAGGGTGACGAAGATGATGAAGTACTGGACACCATTTAATTTGTCCTTCATTGGACGGATTGGCACGATGGTGGTGCCTCGACCTGGATGGAATGAGACTAAAAGAAGGACCCAGATGAGAAGAATCGATATGATGCAGACAGGTAGGGCAATAAAGAACCAGATTCCCCAAGAGGGGACAGGGGACATGTTTTGGAGCGCGATAAGGTTCTGAGGTGAGGCAATGGGGGAGGCTGCTCCGCCCATGTTTGAGGCGAGAGCTATTCCAAGGATGAGTGCTTTCGAAAAGTGAGAGTCGGCAGGAAGATTTCGAAGCATCGGCTGAATGATAGAGAAGCAAAGGACTGGTGCTGCAACGTTTGATATCCACATGCTGAGAAACATGGCGACGAACATGTTTGTGATCAACACAGTCCGTGGTTTGGTGCCGGCTTTACTCAACACAAAGGTAGCCATCATTTTGGCAATGTGGTACTTGGATAGAGCTGCAGCAATGGTGAAGCCGCCCAAGAGCAGCATGATGACGGGTGTCCACATCGCAGCGAATACTGCTTTGGTAGCCTGTTTCGTTTCAAGTCGATGATATGGCTTTTCGTCTGAGCGCATGATGCGAAGCACAACCACCAGAAATGGGACCAGAAGTGACGTGACGAAAAGTGGAATAGACTCTGTCGCCCATAGCAAGCTCACGAGGACCAACATTGCCAGGCAGTTTTGTTGTTCCGGCCTCTTCATGATCGGTACCATGAGGAGCACAATAAAGACAGCAATGATGATGACGAGCGCAAAGAAGGTAGAGCTAACTAACCAAGACGGGCAGCGATAACGTCCAACAGGAGTGGAGACTTCTTTCGTCTCCCCGAAGTGATTATCACCTTGCAAGCGAGTCGTGGAACGGTCATTATCTCCACCCAACAATGTGTGCTTGATGCCGAGGTTGGCGGCCTGCGCCTTGCGCTCAATGCCAATCATTTCCCTCCAGACAGTGTTCCGTTCCCACACAACATGCTCTCGTAGATGTAGCCGCAGTTCTCTCCTTGCCAGCTCGATGTCTCCCTTGGTGACAACGTCCGCGTAGATCGACTCTACTTTGGCTATGTTGGCGTCAAGATGCACCATTGTCGATTGCTTAAAAGGATATGCTGTGTTTACAACTTTCTCCAAGTAGTCTTTCCGCATATCTCTATCGCAAACCTTGTCATATTTTTTGGTGGCTTTCTTGAAACCCGTTTGGTTCAGCTGGATGAACGATTTGAGTTCGCACAGAGTGACGTATATGCTGATTGTTCGCTTCTTCAACGTGATTCCTGAGTCGAACAAGGCTGATAGGTGACCTGGGTCGTTTTGGTCCATTTGCAGTGCTAAACTTGGTCTTCGTCGGATTGACGGATTCATAAAGTCAGGCGGATTCCGCAGGTCTTCTCTCGAATCAGCCAGTGCGTTTGAGGCACTAGAACCATCCCAAGCACTTTTGCTCCTCTGCTTCATCGATGGCTTACGAGTCAATGCATGACCTTCATCAGCATCACTGTCGCTGTCTGCTTGCTCTCCTTCTTCCTCGATAGAGGCACTCATATTACTTGCGCGTCGTGTTCGTCGAAAGGGCAATTGGAAAAGGCTGCCAGATCGGCTTTGTTTTCGTCGATTCTCGGCTTCCGCGACCTCCTCCATATTCACGCCTCGAGTTTCCTCCTCATAGGCTTCCTTGTCTTTGATGAGCTGCGAAACCTCTCCATAGACCTCAAGCTCTTTCAGCCGGTAAAAGGAACAGACTCGGTCAAGTTCGGAGTCAAGCATGCGCTTGAAGGTAGTGTCTGGGTCCAGCTGTTGACCGGTGAGCAACGGTGATCGTTCTGCGTCGTGGCCATCTTGACCAGTCTGGCCGCCTTGGGAATTTATCTGCTTCTCGAGTGTATATATGCTGGGTCCAAAGTCAATTGGCCGTTTTCCGAGAGTTTGGACACACAACCAGAGACATACAGTTTTTTCAGGTTGCTGTAGGATATATAGTTGCTACTCCAGTCTGGGACCGCATTGAATTGTATGCTGTGCGAGAATTTCATGTCTTCGCGATCAGCAAGTTCTTTGAGCTTTCCAGCTCGCTTCTCCTTTCGCCGTGCCTCGCGGCCAGTTCGCGGTCCTTCACCTCTGGATCCAATCTGCTCTCCACCTGGGAGATCTTCGAGTTCGATACCAGTATCGAGGACACCGAAGTCTGCGTCGTCTAGAAGAAGCGGAGACACGATGCTTGCAAGAGCCTGCCTCTAGGCAAGCAGGTGGCTTTGAAAAATGCCCAGTATGCGCATGGTACTGCGCCCGCGGAGATCACGCAATTACGTGGATGCGCGGCAAAGGAACTAGAGTAGGTCAGGAGGACGAAGTAATGATTCATTCAGATAAGCACCCTCGACACCTGCGTCAACAGAGAAATCAGAAGAAAGAAGAACAAGTGTTGATACTCAACGTCGTATGGAGTACAAGTACCCTAGAGGACCCTTGAACGTGGAGTCAAGGCACCGCCCGATTCGTTCATCGCGATTTACACGTAACGTAGTATTCCCTGGGCCCTCAGCTCCCAACTTGAAACCCAACGACAATCCTTGGCAGCTAACTTAGGGAACATGAATGTCTTGGCGTAGTAGCTGGATTGATCTGATGCCAAGGAACTGAGCTTCAAGTCGAGCTTGCCGCAGTACTACGCTGTACGACAGATGTACTGATCATCTCAGAGCTTCTGTTTCAAGCTTCCACGATACTCTTTTCCGTCCGTCCCAATCATCTTCAAAGGTCCAAGGCGGCCAAGATCCAGACGCTCGCCCTTGGTACTCACTTTCGGGACGTGCAACCGCAGTCATGGCACCCGAAATGGAGGATCCGCGAATGACCTCCATCAAGCCGAGGATCAAATATAATACAATTGGAGGTGTCAATGGACCGCTGGTCATTCTCGACAATGTGATTGCAGATTGGTATCTCCGGCTTCGCTCTGGGGCTGACCATAGATTAGGTCAAATTCCCACGTTATAACGAGATCGTGTCTATAACTCTCCCCGATGGGTCTGAAAGGTCTGGCCAGGTGTTGGAAGCAAGAGGTGCGATTACAAAGCTCTTCTCCGACCCCGTCCTGGCTGACCGATGAACCATAGGTAATCGAGCTGTTGTACAGGTATGAAGACCTACAACAAGGGTACGCCTTATGGTTACTGACGACGGCAACAAGGTGTTCGAGGGAACGACGGGCATTGACGTGAAGAAGGTTTGCAGACCTAACTCTAAGTCTTCATACACGCTAATAACCACTATCAGACGAAAGTCGAATTTACCGGGCACAGTCTGAAGCTGGGAGTTTCAGAAGACATGCTTGGTCGAATATTCGACGGTTCAGGCAGAGCCATCGACAAGGGGCCAAAAGTGCTAGCCGAGGACTATCTCGACATCAACGGCAGTCCTATCAATCCTTATTCTCGAGTAAGGTGCTTTCTTCCATGATTCTGGAGGGTCCAGCTCACAGTTGGTAACAGGTGTACCCCGAGGAAATGATAGCGACTGGAATCTCTGCCATAGACACCATGAACTCCATCGCTCGTGGCCAAAAGATTCCCATCTTTTCTTCAGCTGGTCTGCCGCATAACGAAATCGCCGCGCAGATATGTCGTCAAGCTGGATTAGTCAATAAACCCACCAAAGATGTCCACGACGGACACGAAGATAACTTTAGCATTGTCTTTGCTGCTATGGGTGTCAATATGGAGACATCGCGTTTCTTCACCCGAGACTTCGAAGAGAACGGATCCATGGAGCGAGTCACGCTATTCCTCAACCTCGCCAATGATCCTACCATCGAACGTATTATCACGCCTCGTCTTGCTCTCACCACTGCAGAATATTATGCATATCAACTCGAAAAGCACGTTCTCGTCATTCTCACCGACCTGACAGCTTACTGTGACGCCCTACGTGAAGTGTCAGCTGCCCGCGAAGAGGTCCCAGGTCGTCGCGGCTACCCAGGTTACATGTATACTGATTTGTCTACCATCTATGAAAGGGCAGGGCGTGTCCAGGGCCGAAACGGTTCTATTACCCAGATTCCCATCTTGACGATGCCCAACGAAGACATCACCCATCCCATTCCCGATCTGACGGGATACATCACGGAGGGTCAGATATTTGTCGACCGTCAATTGTACAACAAGGGTGTCGTGCCTCCGATCAACGTCCTGCCGTCGCTCTCCCGTCTCATGAAGTCCGCCATCGGCGAGAAGCTCACGCGAAAAGACCACGGAGATGTCTCTAATCAGCTATACGCCAAGTACGCCATCGGCAGAGACGCCGCCTCCATGAAAGCCGTCGTGGGTGAAGAAGCACTCTCATCCGAGGACAAGCTCGCTCTGGAGTTTATGGAGAAGTTTGAAAAACAGTTCATCTCGCAAAGCCCGTACGAGAGTCGAACCATCTTTGACAGCCTGGACCTGGCATGGAGCCTGCTTAGGATCTTCCCCAAGGAGCTTCTCAATCGGATTCCCGCCAAGATTCTGGATGAGTTCTATGCTAGAAAAGGTGGCAAGGGCAAGGGAAAGGAGGATAGCGGCAGCAAGGACACCAGGGACAATGAATCCAAGGCTAACGGTGAGACTGAGAACCTCATCGATGCGTAGACAGGTTCTGTAGGGGCTTTGCGTGTTATGTGACAATAATATCTTCACAGGCTGTGCATTCTTCCAAAGGCGCTGGATGAGTAGGAAGACCAACCCGTAGATAGAACCAGAGAACTGTGTCCCAGCAACCATTTGCTGTTCTTCCTGCGGTCACGACCGTGCCAGGTACAAAACAAGCACAGCTACAGCCAATTTCTCCATATAAGAACGGGACTCCTTGCACATCCTGAACGCCCCATACATGCACCGTAGTTCCACCACCAGGTCGCCTGCTCCTCTTCGAAAAGGAAAAGAGAAAAACTACGAAAAGTCCTCCCCCTGCTCCTCGATCCCATTCTTAACTTTCAACAGCAGCGTCGTCTTCCACTTATCCAGCTTGCTCAGCTGATCAAACTGAAACAGCTTGTCGGCAAACAATTCCTGCTCGCCCTTCTCCACCGCCTCGGCCAGATCCTGCAACAGCATGTGCTCTCGCGTCTGCACAAACGAGCTGTCCAGGTCGCGGTAGTTCTGCAGCGCGCGGTTGGTGGCCACCAGGTCGGCGGAGGCGAGGTGGCAGATGCCGGCCTTGAGGAAGTAGTCCTTGACGGACCAGCGCATCAGGTTGCTGTTCAGGGAGGACTTGGCGACCGACTCGAAGAGCTGGCAGGCTTTGGCGTAGTCGCCTTCGAGCGCGGCCAGGTCGGCGACCTTGAGGTACAGCTTGTTGGCCAGCGCTTCGGCGTTGTCCGACTCGAACCACTGGGCCGCGGTTTCGTAGGCGGCCAGGGCGCGCGCCGTGTCGCCGAGCTCGAGCTCGTACACTTCGCCCAGGTTTTGTTGGTGCGTTGCTGCGCGTCGGAAGGCGCCTTTAGATGTGTAGTGCGCGATTGCGGCTGTTAGCACGCGCGCCGCGTCTTCGGGGGAGTCTTTTCGGTAGACTTTGAACGCTTCGGTCAGGGTGTTGGCCATGTCGTCTGGTTCCGAGAGTTTGTTTTTTTGGATGTCCGCCGCCTTTTCGAAGGCGGCTCCGGCTTCGTGGTCTGTTGAGTAGGTACTTGTCAGTGGATATTTGGAGATGAATGGCTTGCTGTAAGTATAGGAACGGGAGGTAGACTGAGGCGACACTGCGGACGAACATACTCTGCTTTTGCATCCGGAATGCATTGGCGGCCTGTGTATATAGATCTGCTGCATTCTCCCATTTCTCCGTTCGCCCACCGAACATACTAAAGCCACCGCTGGCGCTCGACGCCGCCTTGTCGGCCTATCCCAGGGAAATGTTAGGGAAAGTCGATATGCAATCCGAGGCACCGTGACGTACCTTTTGCATGAGCGCTCGAGGATCTTGAGCCATGGTGACCGGAACGGAAATGGTTCAAAGAAATCTCTAATGAGAAAAGCAAAACAATGCTCTGGTCTCGAAACGCTTTCAAGTGAGTGGTATTTTTTGAACACGCTGACAGGTGTCTTGGAGCATGTCCCGGTGCCCACCGGATTGAAGCGTGGGGTACCACGAAAAGCAGCCTAACGGGATTAGGAAGGAAGCTTCCCCCACCTCCCTACTCCGTACAGCATAGAGCTTCAGAACAAACATCACCACGGTCTTTACCTCGTCTATTCAAGCACGCCGCACGGCCGTTGACTTATCAAAGATGTCCAAAATACGAATATCGTATTATAAAAGCGCAAGAACAGCGACCAAAGAGCAGCCCTATCGACGACCACCCCCGGATCCATTTGTCCGTCATCCCAAAATCAGAGAATACCTCCGCCATCCGACCTGGTCCGTGAAGTCCCTGCTTCCAGACCCTGCTGCTGTAGAGCACCAAGCACCGACGATGGCCCCAAAAGAACTGCATCATCTCCTCCGTCTATCCGCGCTGCCGCAGCCCAAGGATGCCGCCGAAGAGTCCTCCATGCTCAAAACATTAGAGACCCAGCTACATTTTGTACGCGAGATCCAGAAAGTCGATACCACGGGCGTCGAACCTCTTGTCAGCATCCGTGATGAGACCCCACAAGCTATTGAGGAGAACACGATCACTCTAGCTGATTTGCAGGAGGATCTCGATGCTGAGGAAAAGGTAGGGAAGAATGGGAGGGTGAGGAGAGTACCGAGGGATGATCCAAAGGCAAAGAAGGCAGAGGACTGGGATCTGTTCAAGATGGCTGAGGGCAAGACGATGGGAAGGTTCTTCGTCGTCAGAAAACACAAGGAAGTGAAGGAAGATGTTGTCAAGGAGAAGAGTGGGCCTTGATGTAGGATGGAGATTCTTCCGTTGCTCTTCTAGCAGGGCGATGCTACTGCGTGGATCTATGAGGAAAATTGTAGACGGGGTCACTCTAGTGACCACAAGTCTCTACTGAAGGCACTGCATACGGAACCTAGGGGCGTACGAGGGCGTACGAGGGCGTTCGTCCTGTTCGGGCCAAGATATGCTCTCGCAACACCAGAGATGTATGTCATCTCAAAGGCTAGTAACGAGTACCGACCTTCACTTTCCACGATGCTGTGTGCAGATATGGAGGATCTCTTGGCAATGTCGTCTCACCAATGTCAGTGGGGCGTCCATGGCGGAATTCGGCGAGAAACGAGGAGCAGGTATGCTGAGGTGAAACTCGTCACATTGAAGCATGAATAGCGAAGGTGGTGTTCTATGCAGGACATTGAGTCATTGGACTTGCTATGAACAAATCAATAAGTGTTCAATGCAGAGCGTAGGCTCTGTCAGGATACAGATGCTGCACAGAAGTTATTGGTCGCCAATGACGGCAACCAAACATGTATATTGATTTCCAATACCCGACTGATCAAACCAAAGTAGTTTGTCAAATAGACGAAACCCACAAATAGAAGACACCGAATCAATACAGACAAGTAGTATGCTCATGAGCCCTGGGAATACGGTCTTCTGACGTCGATAATGGGATGTAGACAAGAAAGATACTTATGCATTTGCGATAAACAGAAACATTTGTGCCTCGTGTCCCGTACGACTTGTGGGACATGCACAATGCATCAAAGCTCAGCACCAATCGTAAGCATCACCCTGTTCCAGACGATATCTTCTCGGCTTCAGCATCGTCAAGATGACTGGGGTTACGGTGACTGTCAGCGCTGCTGAGACTTCGATCTGCATAACTGGCATCTAGTGGCCTTGGTGTATCTGCAATATACTGGTGCTTGTTGAACATCGCGATGTCACCAAAATCGGCCTCGTCCGTGCTGCCTGGGGGACATTAGCCGCCTTGAGGCATTGCCATGTGCCACACAATTGGTTAACGTTGGTGCTCAACATGCAGCCCATCCTTCAATGCTACAGAAGACGACCGACGGGCAGCTGAACCAGAAACTGTGCTGGACAGCGCTGTTGATCCCGTGGTCTCATCCGTCTCTTGCGACTCGTCCGAACTCTGCTTTCGCGCGGGCACTCCAAGACTTGGTGTTGGAATCTGTGATTGGGTGTTAGGATGTGCTGGCTGGGTGAACAACTTGATCTGGCTATCTGTCAACTCAGGATAATGCTCGGCCGTAGCATGATCTTCCATTGCTTCTTCTATCATTCTTATTGCCTCGGGAAGCTCTGGGTGCTGAGCTGAAGCCGATTGTGTCTCAGTTGCCGAGATGATCGAAAAATTTGACAGGGACCTGGTCTGCAACGGTATACTTCCCACCCTTAGACATTGAGTAATATCTGGAGGTTGCTGCATGTCCGTCGCCCAACCTTGGCTACCTGGCTGTTGAGATTCCACAAGAATACCAGGTTTACCCAACGAAGATCGACGACTTAAGGAGATGGACAGTGGAGATGTGCTGGCACTTTCCAACAGATCAGCTTCATTTTGAGACACATGCTGCTTCCGACTATGGACGCGTTGTGAAAGAGGTGGGACTGGTGGTTCTTTCTGTGCTTCACTACCATCAGACCGCTCGGCGTCGGCATCGTACTGTGTTTCGGAAGGTGGTCTTAGGATAGTTGATCGCTCCTGGATAATGAGTGGCAAGTCGTTGGTGCTCGAAAGTGCCCTTCGGGCAGCTGTGGGGCTCTTGTTAGATGATAGCTTCGCATGATCATTGGCGAGAGAAGACGTGACAGGTTCAGTAGACTTCTTGGTTCCAAGAGAAGGATCAAACTTGCTCTGTGCAGTAAGCATTTTTGGGTGACGGGCGCGTGCTGTGTTGATAATACCAATCCCAGCGTTGCTTTCTTCATCAGATATGTAGCCCTGGTCTGAGCATATTGAAATTGTGGGAGTCCTTATAGTCGGTTGTTCAGAGCACAAGGCAGCAGCAGTGTCATTAAATGGATCCTCGAGAGGCAGATTGGTACCTGGCATTGGTGTGGGTAGTTCTGGGGCACATTTTATGGCCTCTTCTACCTTCAGAGAGAGCTGTGGCCGGTTGCTATGTTTGGGGCATGACCGTGAAGACACAGGTAAAGACAGCTGTTCTAGGGTTCTAGCTGTTTGCCGAAGGCTCTTCTCGTCATCCGAGTTTATCTCAAATGCCGGTGTACTTGGAATATCTACCGTCAACAACGAAGGAGGAGTCTTCTTTGGGACGGATATTGGTGAGCTATGTTGGTGCACATTGCCGATGACAGAATGACCACTGCGAAATCGGACGGATTTTTTAGAGCAGATACTTTTAGCACTATTTGGTGTCGGAGGGACTGGTACTTCATGCAGCATCAGTTCTTCCTCGAAGCTTTGCTGGTGTGCTTCGTAAAATATGTTTGCCTTAGCCCTGAGAGTGTCCGCAAACACCTGTAGCCTGGCTCTTGCTCTCGCAGAAGTTGTAGGTCTTTTCGGCGAAGGCGATTCCTTCCAACGAGGTGCCTTAGTGGGACTCTGAGAAAGACCTCTCTTATTGCTGACAGAACCCTGCGGACTGGTAGTGGAAACTGCACCTGGATCATGTTCAGGGTTGGTCGGATCGTATATAGGGTAATGCTGAGCCTCTTGACAAGTAGCGATGGTTTGCTTTAGGATAACTTGCCTGTCCTAAGAGTTAGATGTGACCAGCATTGGTGAACACTCAACAGACCGATCCTCTTCAGGGACAACCTTAATGCCCAACCCAAAAAGTGAAGAGATGCTCTTTCTTGTTCTGGCGTTTATGGGCTGTCTCTTGCGAGACCTTCTTGTTGATTCTGCTTTTACAGAGATCTGGCTTAAGGGATCATGCTGAGGCGGATCTGCCCTTGTGGGAGGTGTGAAGAACCGACCCAGCAATGAAGTCATCACAATGATGAATGGTGAACTGAAATGTGAAATCCAGAGACTTGGGAACGGTTATGAGAAAGGAATAGATACAGGATTTGCCGCAAATAAAGAGGAAGAGCCGCCAGAAGCTAGTAGATGTCTTGTACCCTATCTATGGTGTTGTTGGGTTGTCGGTTCGATGATGGTTGATAGTAGAGTAATTGAACTAGAACGACTTCTAGAACGACTTCGAGAGTGACATAGACATCAATCACATAAGATCAAGGAAGGCAAAGATGACTGCTCCTGCTTAATGTAGATGGATTAAACATGGTAGCCAGGCACACGTCTGGTGCCATCTTTCAAAGCTACCAGGTTACTGGTAACTGAAAGGTGGGTAAAGGTCCGTAATGGAGAATAGCCACAAAGCCTTTCTGCCCCCCAACTCAAGGCTTCACAGTCTGTGGATACTACAGCAACATATTGTGAAAGATCCAGAAGGTGCTATCCCAAGAGACAGCAGATAAGGAGTTTGGGTACATCAGGGGAAGGTAGGTGAATGTTCTCCACAGTGGTTGTATTTTAAAACGCAAGACCGTGTACTAGTCAGTACGAGTCTATGCAGTAAAACACCCTTATGCTTGGCTGGTTCTTTCCCAGCTTTATTGTAATTCAGCCACTCCAAGCTTGCTAGAAATTTCCAATACTGCCAATGAGTGAAATATTCTCAGCTTTGAATTTGAACTAAGTTTTGAGAAGATTTGTTCCGATCATGGTGACGAATATGTGATGGTTGTTGAATTGAGATTGGTATAGAGTACTGTATTCAATTAGAGCTTGCCGTGTGTTGGGGATGGACCAATGATTTGTAGATAGCTTGTAATCGGATGACTAGAATATCTGCCATAACACATCGATGCGAGATTCAAGGGTCCCGGTAAGGCTCAAGCTAATCCGCATCAGGCTCCTTCTGCGAGCTGTCCATTTCCCACCGACGGTGCTCTCATTTCTCTGTAACTTCTTCTCGAGTCAGCACTGGGAAACCTGGTGGTGCTAGGGGGCATTGCCAGAGAGGATGTCCGGAGACTTGTTGTAAACAATTTATCCCCAAGTTTTATCTTGAAGTCTCCAACAAATTGTTTATATCGCTTCGTTTGCCAAGTCTCAAAAATCGTGCCTAACCGACCCTAACTTCCTTTGATGCTCCCTCTACGAATTACATTTCGCTCTTTGAGGCTCCAGATTGTGTTATGGGCCCAGAGACATCATCATGTTTGTCGAACAGAGCGGGATCTTCCCGTCCAATTCGCCATGTCTCTCTGGTGCTTAGAGAAGTTTGACCCATAATCTTGCCGTTGGCTTTTGTAGCAACACCAATGCGAATATCCCAGTTGAAAAGCAGACCCAGGGGCTACAGTCTCCAACAACAATTGATTTGATGAAGGTGAGTTAATGGGCAAAAGAGTAGTAGATCGTGTGATGAGCGTGAATCTGTACGCCATGTGTACCCCCAGAACGCCCAAATTTTGAACCGAGCAAGCTAATCCAGGCAATTTCATACCAAAACACCTAGTCAGAAGGGCGCATCAGGAAAAGCTGTCCCACAGACGCCTCTCAGAAAAAGAATGTGCAACTCCGTCTTTCTCCAGATCAAATCGAACCTCCCACCATCTTAAGGGCCCAGTACCTGTAAAACAAGAGATGACCCACCGTGTCAAGAGCAACGCAAGACAAGGGCATCCGCGCCAACACACGGGGAGCGTCAGACATCGATCACCCAAGCGCAGTCAGAAAAGGGTTAAGATGTTTCACCACATGCCAGGCTGCTGAGTATGGATATATCGAGGCTAACAGAAGAAGAACGCAAGAGATTGGCCGACCAAGCGCAGGTAGGGAAGGGAGAAGACCTACAGCCTCAGCAGAAGTGCCCCATGAACAAACCGCGGCTCCAAATCAAGACCAAGTTCTCAGGTTAAGACAGAGCCACTCCCAGGGTTCAGACTCAGCGCTACCATCGTGACACCTACCAAATCATGCCGCTAATGATATTCACTAGCAAGCAGCGGATTGATTCGGGCCAGCCAGATATGATAGCCACATTCAGAGGGCGGATAGATCGACCATAGTATGCCCTCAACCAGCAATATACCAATTGATGTACTGTGTATACGATAGAAGCAGGGAACAGATCCGTGTTTAAACCTTGTATTCGTGCTTGTTTGACGTAGTGGGTCAATTTATCATTTGGATTCAGGTTCTACTGATCCCTCTGTACCCAATTCCTCAATAAAGGTGCCTACGGCAACTCCTTCAACTGGCAGTGAAATAATGTCAGGGAGGTAAGTTGACAAGGTCGACCAAACCCTGCTCTTAGAAACATTCTGACAAGGCTGGGTGAGATCAAAAGAGAAGATTAGCACGCTAGCAACGATACAACTCATACCCAAGTTACCGCCAGAGGGAATAAGGTTGTTTGTTCAGCGAGTATATTATTTTATAGTCCAGTACCAAACGTAGCTTCTGTAATGGATGGTGCCAATGAAGCGGTCCATTAGCATATATCATAGTACAGGTTTGCAGGATTCTCATACAAGTTCTACACTGTACCAGTGACGAGGTAGTGGTAAAAAGCACATGTAACTTCGTGCTGCGGAACAGATTTTCCTTTCCTTCTGCTGCCAAGAAAGTTCAAGTTTGAGCTGGTCAGCGAAGATTGGTTGAGAGAACACTCGCCAATTGCGCTGAAAGTACCAGATTTGTGTCATAGTGATCTTGTCTGCTCTCTCACTTCTGTTTGGCTTCTTAGAGTGAGCTTGATAATCTTTGTAAGGCTACCATACTGGTCTGATCTGGGAACTACAATGGCGACCTCCGCAGGCGCACCCTCGTTTGACGATATCATTCAAGCAGGTATTGAACGTTGTCATTGATACGCCCGAATAGTGTGTCTGACGCGTTCATATAGACAGACAGCGACGGAAAAATGAGCAGCTCGCAATCGAGATATTTAGTAAGAACCGACGCTCTACGGGAGCTGGCAATGCTGCGAGGAAGAACAACCAAACCACAAGTCTTGCAAGCAGAGTCGGAATAGGAAAGGTATGCGGGCAAGAGTATATCGATGACATCCATGCTCACTATCAACGCAAGCGTTCGTCCAGTACAAGCGTACCCTCATCAAAAGCAAATCCTTTTGGTCAACCAAAGCCTCCTTCGCGACCCTCCTCAGCCGCGGCGCAACATGCGCGTGCCAATAGATTGGCTTCCGCCGTCAATAATACTGAACAAGCTAACATTTTGCCCTCCCCACAAGCTCCAAAGGCTCAGTCAGGGTCCGGTCTCAGCATCAGAGGAACAGCAGGTCCATTTGTGGTGCAAGCAAGTAACTTTGCTCCTGGAACGACAGCCGCCGACATAGAAGCAGCAATGCATACTGTGGCAATTGACGCTACTGGGAACAGTGGACTGGTGACCTGTCGAATTCTGACAAACAACCCGACGGTGATGGCTGAGATGATCTTTTCTGAACGATACATTGCAGACAAGGTGGTTGAGACATTCAACAACGAAAAAGCGGATGGCAGAATCTTGCATGTATATCATAAGCATGGTGGTCCTTCTCCAGCGGTACGGCGAAAGAGGAATGAGCCCGCCGTTCCAGTCCCGGATACAACACCTGCTAGTGGACCTAAGGAACTGTTTGACGTCAAGGTCAGTAAGGCTGAGGACGTTGACATGGATACGGAGTCACCATACAACAATGCTCGTGAAGTGGCAGATCAAGACCGACGAAGTCGTGAAGAGCGGCGAGCAGACTCAAACATCCAAGATGGAAGGTTTGGCTTCACCAATGGACGGGACAGAGACCAAGTCCAAGAGAAGCCACGGGAGGCATTGCCCCCTGGTGATGGTGCAGACCAGCGGATGGATGATGAACCTATGGTCATGAGACGGGACGAACCGAGAGAAAGAAGATATGATAGTCGCTATAGTGACAGAAGGGATGACAGGGGCTCATATCGAAGGGAAAACAGGTATGATGGATATCGTCGAGATGACCGACCCTCACACTATGGAAACGGCGTAGGTGGCAGTGGGTACCGTGGTGGTGATAGCTACGGTAGAATGTACAGCGATGACATGATGAGAGGGCCGCCAAGAGGAAGCAGGGGTGGTGGACCAAGGGGTGGCTACAGATGATCTTGATCAAAGCCAGAAACAGACTTGGTGCATAGATCAATAGCACTCTGGAAGTGAAGCCTCTAGTCATAGCAGCAAGAACTTTGCTGGATGAAGGACGGAACCACTTTGGACCGTTCACAACTGGGAACTTGCTCTTGATACAACGCTGGATCCAAAATACCGCTCACTAAATCGAGACCACATATAAGAGATTGTCAGAGTGATGCCTCCAAGTGTTGTGCTAGACGAGAGTCCGTCTTGCCAACAGGTAATAGTTGCATATGTGGTTGTTATAACTTTCTTGGCTCCTTCATTGCGCTTGTGTCAACCGCTGACTTGACTTTCTTCCTCGAATTATGGTCCATGAACATTTCTCCAGCCCTACGAGCTATCTCGGCAGCTGCTGCCCGTTTCACCTCGTCTTCCTCGTACTTTTTGGCAATCCTCTCCGCATGTCTGATCTCCCTGGCTTGTCGTGCAGTTTCCCGCTCCTTGCATTTGCGAATCTGTGCTTTGTCGGTATTGCGTCGACCTTCAGCTACTTTCAGCAACCGACTCTGCTCCCTGGATGACACAATCCATGGCTTCGATAGGACTTCCACCTTTAACTTAGTCCGCTGCTCGACGAATCGCAGCTCGGCATTTGTGTCCGGAATAATGGCGACCCGTTCAAGGTGTATCTGTCGAGTATCGCGAAAAGTGCCGACCTTTCCTCTGACACTGATGACGCTTCCCACGTCGATGGAGGCTATTGTATTAGCACGGGCTTGCACCTCCGCCAATCTAATCCCATCGAGTTCTGACCCCTCCTTCGAAGCCTGGTCAGGATTTTTGTCTGCTGTTTCTTCTGGCTTTGGACATGAGACCTCGATCGTAGCCCCACTACTGTCATCGATGATCAAGAGCCATCTCTTTTCATGAAAGTCCTCGTACGACACCACCACTCCGACCAGATACACAAATTGTATGGGATGGTTCAAATAGAAGTACAAATTCTGTCCTTGAAATGCTGAATTGATATGAAGTATATTGTGAATGTCGAAGGCTGTGAGCTTAACCCACGCAAAGTAGGTAGGCGAGGCCTTAAAGCAGTATGCGGGATAGAAGGTCAGGTTGGAATTTCGGCCATTTGGGCCACTTGCGGCCATGTCATCTTGACTTCCTGGTCAAAGCCGTTATCTTCATCAACTTCGATGATTGAGACGGACAGCTGCATCACAAACCATGTTCTGGGATAATATTCGATGGAAAAATGCTCTAGTTCTCGAAGCGCAGTATACTAACGTACACTACCACTTGGCGAGACAATTTGCACACACTTTACGCAGTAATTCTATCACTCAAATGGCCCAACATCCACGTCCAATTAAGGAAATAATAAAGCTGATAATACTTCTTATTTAAGCCTATCTGAGAGAATTCTTATGTGTAGCGAATCCTCTCTATCCCTTGTGATCCCGATTAATCCCTATTAGTGGCCTTTGACTACCGTTCAAGATGGCTAACTTGGTTCAAATTAACATAACCAACCGCGCAGTTGCATAACCTAGTGATGCGACACTTGATCAGGTTCATCGATGGCCTGCTGGTCTTTGGGGCCAAATAGAGGTCGTCGATCTAAGTAGTTGGAATGTCGGTCATGAGCCAAAGCTACGGAGAGATTTCACGGAACGTCGTATCCTGACTTATGAACCGTGTAGATCGGTCGGCTTCGAAGTTTAACTAACAGCCTCTGGTTCCTTGGGTTCTTGCTCCTACACACTGTTTTCGAGTTAACTATCGTCGTCTCCGTTCATCTTCGCAAATATAATCGAGGATTCGAACGATCACATCGCAGGATTCAAGACACTCAACCTTCAGACCTACGGTGTTACAAATGAAAAACCGATTGAAATTCATGCCTTCGAGGCTGTCGTTTACTTTATGTTAACAGGGAGAGTGAATACTACCGCGTGGAAGCCGATCTAGACACGACCAACAGAGTCTGCTACTCGTCATCACAATTTCTACTTTCAGATCCACTGCATCCAGCTCGCACAGAAAATGAAATTCACAAGAATGATTGAGGTGCTCGCCATGGAGGTACGACGAGAGTGGTCTAACTCCGTCCTCTCTGTCAGGCATTTGACATTTGCCACCTAAGTCTGCGGTGCACTCGACAACTTTCTCATCCAATGGATCATGCTAATTCGAAATGAGACAGGCCACCCCGCCTCCACTACCAACACCGTGCGTTTATTGGTGGTCATTACAAGGTTGATGGGTTTCCGAAGAACTGGTCGACATGCACCTGATATGGAAGCCTGAGGCCCGTCTGAAAGAGCTAAGCTTTGGTAGTTTTATCTTGGGGCACATTGGCTACATTAATGATTTGCTGATAATTTCGAAAGCTGTGCAGGTTCTCGATTCTGCGAAAAAGGATATCGAAGAGGCCACCCGCAAGACAATTGATGCCAACGCCGAAGAAGTTGCCGAAGGGATCAATACGGAGGAAGGTGGGCTGGAGATGCTGATGAAAAACGCTGATAGAGGTGCGAACGAGGCGAGGTCGCTGAAGACACCGCTGGATTCGCCTCTAGTTGCACCACCACACCTCTCGGCGCGTAAGAGTCTGCCGGAGGCGGTCCTGCATGCTTTCGTGAGGTGGTGTGAGCTCGCCTGACCAGCGTTGACACAGCACAAGGGCCAGGAGAGCTCGGTCGATGTGGGAGACGCCATGCGCTGAAGCGGGTACGCCCGTTACGGGACAGCATAGCGCGGCTAATGAAGCAGATTTTTTGGGCAGTGTTGATTACTCGTGTATCAGGTCTGCTTGGGCACGACTTACGGGTCGTTGGAAAGATGCAGGCACCTTCTCCTTTGGCAGGGCATCAATCAACAACTGCGCGATCTTCGCCGATGAAGGCTTAGCATATCTCGCGCTCGCTGCGGTTAGCGGGTCCATCACCCTCGTCTGCTAATCTGGACTGTCGAAGAGATACCCTTCTATCAAACTGCGCCACGGTTCAAATAGACCAAAAGGAACTGCAACCATAATGGGCCGCAACTAACCCTATTTATGCTTGACACCTTCCCTAACTCTACCTTGGCAGAACCGTATCTCCTTGATCCTCCTCAAGCTGGTCATGACTCCAACCACCCGCACCGCTGAGGCCCGAAGACTGCCTTCTGGCCGACATATCTCTTACTTTCTGGACGAGGGGTGTCATTAAAGCCAGGCATTGCTCCCACGACTCCAATGTATGCCTCCACCCTCATCCAGATTCCAGTCTCCCACGCAACATTTAGTATATGCAATCGAGTCCGTGTGGACGTGTCTTATCCAAACGGATATCGCTTAACGTCTACAATGTATCAGACGGCTCCTGCATCGATATTCCAACACATCCGACCTCACCTCGTCGTATCAAAAAGAAAAACAGTAGACAGTCTCGTGGATAGAGAAACTATCATTCTCCGCGAGTTATTCCGGCCCTACTGGTCCGAACTGAAGATCGCCCCTCTACTTTAATTGAGGGTAGTAGGCCCCAGTAATTAATTCGAGTGTGCAGCTGTCTCCAATTGGCCATTTCGGATTGAGGCTTCTACACCAGACACAGATATACAAGCTTTCGCTCTCTTTCCTCACATTCGAGGAGAAGCTATTGTAGATCTCGTGGCGACTACTTAGCTCGATGGGGAAATTGTGAACCATCAACTACAGAACGAAGCGGGCATCGAAGCAAAAATGTCATCGTCATCTCTCGCCTCTCCATCGAGGTATCCCTCTCGCCGCAAAAAACATGTTCCGCAGAGTAATTCCCCGGGCCCATATCTCTCCACCCACAGTCGAGCCTGGGCACGGTAGAGAAGAGCTGCAACAGCCGAAAAGGGATCTTTCTTCTTTCCCTCAATCTTCCGAATGAATTCCTGACATTTCACAGTCCAATCGATATCGCCGGAGTCACATTCTTGTTGACTACTAGTGGTAGTAGCAGTAGTAGTATTGTGGGATCCGGCGTCGTGATATATCTCATTCTCTTCATCTGAGTCGCTTTGACAATCGTCTGATTCATACCCGGGTGGTTGCTCGCAATGCCCGAGCCTTCCTTGACTTTGGAGAAATTCAGGGCAAATACAGTTGGATTTGTGGTTTGAAGAGGTGCATTCGGTAAATTCAATCCATCGAGGCTCTACGAGCCCCACTCCCAACAAGCTGTAGTCGTCTCCACAAACTGAGCAGCACATTTGATGACATCGTTCCTTACTTAGATCCGGCTTGCCAGCATTTGTAATCAATTCGCCCAGGCTGTCTTGTGTCCACCCTGCTTCTTCCAACGCCGCGTCTAGTTCAGAAGACATCACCTTGTCCACCGTTTCAATGCTTTTGGTCAAAGCCTTGGACCATTCGGAGTAAAGAAAGGGTAGCTGCTGACCAAGTACCGCTGGGTCGACTTCGGTATCTGGGTCATAGTCATAGCCTTCAATGTGCATGATTGCCCCAGCGGCCACTAACATTGGTAGCAGTTGCTTCCCTGTTGCTCGAAGTACTATCCAGTAAGCAATTGCCATTCCATGAGATGTGGGGGTTTGCTGTTCAGCGCCACCAGCCCCTTTCAGGCCAAGTTTGCTTGCCACAAGCATGTTCTTATGTTCCAGATCCACGAGAGAGCGAACCGCATGTTGAAGCCCGTGCCACATAGTTTTCGGACCAAAGGCAACCATAGATTCAGCCTTAAGTGACCGCAAAAACCAGTTTACACTGTTCTGAGTTTGAGGAACGCTTTCTTGGTTAAACGATCGGACAAGGTCCGCCAGTACCGTCCACCCTTCGCTACTTGGCTCTGATAAATCCATGCAGTCTTCAAACAGGCGGAGCATTGCTATCTTACGGTCCGCGGGTTTCTTTTTGCTTGTTGCCGCAAACATCGTGACCGGAGATCTGACGAGGGTTAAGTTGTTAATGATCTGTCAGCACTCTGATATGTTAGAACACTCACAGTGAGCCGTCAGTAGGGCCTTCATACGCTAAAGCTGTTTTATCCGCCCCTGCTGATATCAGGAACTCACAAAGCGGTACGTTGGTGTTCTCTGCGGTGGCTGCAAACTGTGTTTATATTAGATATTTTGCTCGGTAAAAATTTTGGTACTTTGTAAAGCTGATTTATACGGAATATACGAAGGCAAAAAACTCGATCGAGTGGTGCTAATAGGGTAAGCGCAGCTCACATGTAAAGGGGTCCAGCCTTTGGGGCTTGTATCTCTGACTGAGGCAGAGCCGTCTGCTATCAGTTGTTGCACCGCCTGTAGATTGCCGCTTTTGCAAAATTTAAATATCGGAGACTCTTGTGACACTGCTCGAATGGGGTTGAAATTGAATTGCCACCCAACAGAGGTACTACAGAGGTTTGCTTCCATTCCATACTTGAGGCCGAACCCGGTGAGCCACCATGACGGGAAAAACGTAAATGACGAAACAATATCAACATTCTTGCCGGACAGTGAGTCCACACGCACGGATGTCTTTCGCACCCAGATGGTTCCAAATAGAGTCCCAGTTGCTGAAGTTCGATGGCAGATACGCGATTGACTTGGTCGCTGGACTTGCGATACAGAGTGGATACTTCCATGACCTTTGGTTGAAGAACTATAAGACAAGGTCACATCAGGGCGCCCGGCTACAGAGTCCGAGTCATCGCTCCCTTGATTGTACCGGTATGAGGTCTGGATAGTGGCGACCCGTTGTATCGTATCATTCATCGCCCGCGCAAACGCACCACCTCTGAAATATTTTTCGGCTGCCACCTGAAAAGCGCCTTCTATAGAGGCTTGAAGCGCCGAAGCAGGTACATCCGGAGGCAGCTGGCGGATATGGAATTTCGAACCAGCATGAAATATACCCTCTTCAGGTGGGTCGAATGACGAGTCTCGAATCTCCGAGTATTGTGGGAGGTCGGACTCGGACCTAATATTAAACTCCGGTGATGATTTTGATTCATTCGCCTGATAGCTTTTGGCGTTCTTTGTAGGGTCTTGATTTCCAGTTTGGATCTCCTCAATGTATTCGGGGGCCGCTTCACTACAGTCGATGTGAGTCTTCCAAGGAAAAAATTGGCGGAAGGATTTGACCACGACATACAACTGGGGTAGTAAAGCGAGTAAGAGGGTTGCCTTTGTCTCTTGAAGAGAATCGCGGAATCGTTTTAGCTTCTGCCTCTTATGCGCCGCTTTGAATTTGGTCCATAATCGGATATGGGGTTTACTGGAACTGAAATTTGGTTCAAATTCCCTCACTATGCTGTGAAGTGCCTTCAACGAATTAGCACTAGCCCCGATATGTGTGCCAAAAGATAGATGAATATCAATGGTCTTACCGCTACCTTATCGTTGCAACAGTCTAGTGCATCCTTGATATGAGGGCTAGGGTCCTTCCGCTTGATAAGCTCATCGAGTATCCTCGAAAGCAACTTCAAATCCAGTAAGATCTCGCCAACTTCTTGAGGCGCGTCCCGAACCGTGCCCCAAAAGTCGTATAACTTAATGAGGCCGCCAGCGAGTTGTAGCCCAAGTGAGACGACGGCAAGTCCTATCTCAAATTCTAGAAATTCTCGCAAAGGGATCTAAGGCTAACATACCGCTTGCTGCGCTTGAAAAGCCATCCATGGAGTCGTTGAAAGGTGAGTTCCACTCCGCAGTAGTATTATGGACTGAGACTCTGCCTAAGAAGAGGGGGTACTGCAGCACACTATATATTAAAGCGTGGTGAAACTTGGGAATTTGGTAGCCTCCACAAATTTGACAATTGCCAACCAGCGTTGACCACGCCCACTACCCCACTAAATCGAGAGCTGGAGAGTTGTATCAAATACGCTTATCATTTGTTGTATTTTCGGCCTCAAACGCCATCAAAAATTCTAGCGCAGTTTTCCGTTCGTTGCCCAAAGCCGCATGCGCTGGCAGCTTTAACATGGAAACTGACAAATGGAAACGGGGGTCAGATTGAAACTTCACGACTATGCTTTGGACGTCCTGTTCCTGAAGGTATCCATGGCTGCTGGTTGGTCGCATCTTGCATTTTGCTCTCTCTACCATCTGTGCTTCCGGTGAGCCGGTCATGCTTAGTCGTCAGTCCCGCCAGCCCCGTCTTCACGAATTTTCGTCCCTGGCATCTACAGCACTTCTATCCTCTTTTTGGTGAGGAGAGACAGATTTTTGGCGTGGAATTAGGCTTCGGCCGTGGCGCTCTGCATTGATCTACTACGGTACCTGGCATAAGTATTCGTAGCACAGCGCTAGTATATTTGCACTAAAACAGACTCCAAACGATACAGCTAAGCTTTGAACGGTTAAACGGTATTATTGTGGCCAGTTGATAGCAACAATAGTCTAACAAGCTTCTAGACACGGAGGTGGCGTTGTTTCCGAACTAGTTACTACTAGCGCCGTGCTACGATTAATTATGCCCCCTACCGTAGTAGGGAATCAAGTTCCACCTCCACGCTAGCTTCGCGAGCCCGAATTGGTTGACACGTCAACGCAAGGGTCAACTTTCAGCTCAGCAGAAAACGCCAAACCACGTACTCCGGAAAGCCACAAGGGGTCTCAAAGACGAGAGGCGAAAGTGCCATGACCAGGCGGAAACAAAGTTGAAACTATGCGCATTCTCGAGTCAATTTATCCCTAGGGATGTCGCGCTCGTTGCCATCCTCTTAGAAGGAAGCTACGACCCCATCTGCGATCGAGTAAGTACACTCCATAAGACTCGATTTCTGCCCAGAGAAGGAGATTGCTCGCTGAGGTTTGGGAGCGTTTTTTTTTTGCTCTTCAACCTGCAGAAGAGGAGCGACCCATAAAGCAGCTGCTTCAGATAGGTGGCGTCTCTTGGCAACAATAACTGCCCGCCCCCTACGCACTAGCTTAGCTTTCTCCTCACGTTGATTTTTTTTCTCCCAGCATTCTCTTGTTTTTGCGCCCTGGCCGATTCTTGTTGGCGCTCTGTTGAGAGGAACTCTATAATTATTTAATGACACTTATGATAAGGTGCGAGTATAGTACATTAAAGAGAGCAGTTTCCGGCGATCGGGCAATCAAGGGTTCAGGAAAGGGAGGGGGGGGGTTGGTTTTTAAAGAATATGAAGTTGATAAAATTAGACTAGGTGACAAAAAAGACGGTAGCACGTTACATGACCCGTGGTGCAACAGAGGCCAAAAGCAACGTCAAAAACTGCCTAAAACAGCGTTCTATGTCCCGGAATCTAGAGTTGAGAGGTAAGTAGTCTATCAGCATGCCAAGGCTCGGAACACCGAACGACGAACGACGAACGACGAATGACAAATTTGACTGTGTTAGAACTTGACCCTACAACCCTTTCTGATATGTTCATCCTTTATGTTATATCTTGCTAATCATAGCATGGCAGGAAATTTTGCTGTAGTCTTAGCAAGAAAAACACTAAAGTTAATTTTCTCTTAACTTAAATGTATTTCTGTCTGTATTACTCTAATGATTAGACTTAAGAATTTGAAAATAGCATTATTTGATAGCCCTTTGAATTCTAAGTATTTCTACAGCTTGTAATTTTTAAAAATATTAATATTTAATATAAAAAAGTCTAAAATCAAAAACGTACACAAAAAGTTTTAATGTTCTTGCTGCTAAGGCTACCGCAAAATTATCCGCTAAAGTACACCTTAAATCATTTAAACTCATCGGGAGCACTAAGCTCCTTAAAGTAATGATACTGATTCAGTGACACAAGGGATAGACTCCTTTCTAACCCTCAGAATCACCTTTGGCGCCCCTATTAACCGTACTACGGGAGGGGCCTGAAGTATTGTTAGTCTGCCGCTAGGAGCAGCTAGTTCTTATTACAGCAATATAGTATCATAATTCGTCAATCTAAAGCTTGTTCTGTGTGCATCCATTCTAATGAGTCGAATCATTACAACTAACTTCTTTGAGCATAGCGGCTCCGTACAAAAAGGGGTTTACAAGCAAAGATACTAGCGCTGAGCTAACAATACTTTAGGCCCCCCCCGTAGTATAGAGGCTAGCGGGGTATCTCTATCCCTGTCATCAAGGCGTCGTAAGGCTTTCCCTACGTTTACACGCTTCTTACAACTCAACACTATGGTTTTCTATCTCGAAATTCTGGCAGCAAGGTCACAAGAGGGTCTATTTTACTATCTGGGCGATTTTGGGCATTCTACTACGATAATTAGGTGGTAAATGGCCATCCTCTACCCTCACCGCAAATTTGCCCCGCGGCGCCAGCAATTCGAGGGTAGCGCCAAGGAATTCGCAACAATTTGCAACGCACAATATTCTTGGTTGGCAAGTTCCATTTGGAGCATCGTCGATGCCGCCCCCATCCAGGGAGTATCTGGGCAAGCCACATCTTTGGCTCTACAGGCTGTTATTGGTCCAAACCATTAGATTTTACGCAAGTCGTGATTCTTCCTCGTGTTCCGTCCATAGGTTGAAAGAAGAACCCTCCTCTTGTGACCTACGCTTCTTCTCCTCTTCCTAGCTTTGCAATGTCATCTATCTTGCGAGCTCTGCGAGCTCAACATGCTGTATCTCTGAGGTATATTCTATCACTTGTCAAAGAGGCAATGGTCTGACTCATGATCACACCCATCGGCAAGAGAGTCATGCTCAACAAGCAGGAAACCCGAGTTGTTTCATTACGACAATGCATCGCGATATGATCAAGAAGCTTCAATGCTCACCGCGGTCAATTTTCCTTCTTGTGTTGATAGCCAGCCTATCCGGCGATGCCTGCGCCTTCCCGGAAGCTGCTAACACCACTGTCCACGATGCAAACTTCATGCTCTGCATTTATCCTATCTCTGGTGCATACGGCCTGCTCCCACGACTCCTATACTATGCAACGTTAGTCCTAGCCATTTTCGGCAGGAACCAGGAATGGCTCGTTATAGGAGCCCTTGCATCCGCACTGACTTATGCTGGTACTGCCGCCATACATGCCATGACTCTTTGCACATCTCGACAGATAGTCTTTGACCTCGACATTTCAGGTGCATGGGCCGTGCTGAGCACAGGGGCGCTCGCATACATTACCTTTATCAACTGGTCAACAACATTGCGGCACTCAAGAGCGAAAATAGTTATGGTGTGCTGGGGTGCCTTAGTAGGAATTGGCCTTATCTTCGGTAGAGTAGAACTTTACGACACAAAGCTGTCCCCCGGAGAGCCTGAGTGCCGTTCTTCTACAGGAGAACTGCTGTCGAAGCCATTTCAACTTATCGACCCAAGTTTTAATTGCACGTACCAATGCTTCTCGGCGCGAAAACCTCTCAGAGAACAATCAGAGACTATTGCGATACCGAGATCGGTTCTGTCTGGGAAATACTCCCGTCTTAGCCTCATCATGGTCGGACCTGTCATGTTTGCAGCTTATGCGGCCATTTCGTGGGATACACGAGAGCATTCGCCTTCGCAAATCAACACGCGAATAGTTATGAGTTACCTAGATCCGAAGCACCATGCCGAGATGACCAAATCAATTTACAAGGCCGCGTCAGAAAACTGGTATGGTGGCTACTTTGCATTATTCAGTTATGTGCACAGAGCACGATGGAGTGTCCGAAAGTGTATATTGAGCTTCCTTGCCATACCTTGGTTTGCCCTGGCTCTCGCGCTTGACCTACTGTGCATTCCATTGTTGATAACTAACATCATCCTCAACGAAATCAACCTACTTGGATCGAATTTACCTACGAATGAACCTCCGTTTGCAATCGGGCAGTGGGGCCCAATGGTCAGCTCTCTACTGATAGTCATTGCCGCAATCATCAATCGAAGCCTGGAGATTCGAGATACTCGCAAAGGTGCACCCGATATTCCAAGGGAAGATAGTCATGTAGTCTCCGTTGCGAAGCAGGATGTGGGAGAGTTAGAAGGACAAACCAGCGGCGTCGTTCTACAGAACATTGCACGTCAGGAGACTCTGAAGGATATGGAGCACATACTAGCAGCTAGTAAGAAATGAATCATATTCTATCTGTTTAGAATATTGCTTCGGGTTCTGTCTTTGGATCAAGAGCCGACTTAGAGAATTCTTAATAACGCGTACGTCATAAGTTCACCGTAGCGATAGTGTGCTCAAAGGAAAATAAGTACTCCGCAGGCTCATAAGGAATACTTGAGGGGGATTTAGTGATTCGTCGCTCAAAGAGTGCTAGTGCTTCCGCTTCCGCTCTCATCTCGGAGGTCAATCTTCAAGCTCTAATCCTAGCACCATAATTCACAAATTTGAACATCCCATTATCTCTACCTCCAGCTCACCGTCTCAACAGGTATCACATACGACGCTGTCAATATGTTTGCAGCACGTCAAGCGTTCAATCTCTCACAGAGACGGGCGTTTTCCGCTTCTGCCAGACAGGTCAGTTTCTTCAGATCACAGCACAGGTCGGGTCTGTATACTAATGAACGACTGCTTGAATTCTAGGCATCAAAAGTCACTGTTCTGGGCGCTTCAGGGGGGATTGGTCAACCTCTCTCGTTATTGATGAAGCTGAACCCCCGTGTCACTGAGCTCGCTCTGTACGACATTCGAGGAGGACCAGGTCCGCTCTGATCCGCATTTGCAAATGTCCTTCGGTGAATATCAATTGACAACCACAACAGGCGTTGCTGCTGATATCAGTCACATCAACACCAAGAGCAAATCAAAGGTTATGATCCAACACCGTCTGGTCTGAGAGAAGCTTTGACTGGTGCGGAGATTGTCCTCATTCCGGCTGGTGTTCCTCGGAAGCCAGGCATGACCCGCGACGGTATGAAGGGCAATATACCCTCCCCAATTCAGATAAGCTGATACAAAGGGTAGATCTGTTCAACACCAACGCTTCTATTGTTCGTGACTTGGCTAAGGCTGCTGCCGACGCTTGCCCAGATGCAAATCTCCTTGTGATTTCGAACCCGGTTTGTTGATATCAAGTCTCACCCTCTAGTACTGATCGTTGATTATGTTGTCTTTCAGGTCAACTCCACTGTCCCAATCTGCGCCGAGATTTACAAGTCTAAAGGTGTCTACAATCCAAAACGCCTCTTCGGTGTTACCACTCTTGATGTCGTTCGTGCCTCTCGCTTCGTCTCCGAAATCAAAGGTACCGATCCTGCAGACGAGCAAGTCACCGTCGTCGGTGGTCACTCTGGCGTAACCATTGTCCCGCTTCTGTCACAATCGAACCACCCCGATATTGCTGGGGAGCAGCGTGACGAGCTGGTCAATCGAATTCAGTTTGGTGGAGATGAAGTCGTAAAGGCAAAAGATGGTGCGGGATCTGCCACGCTATCCATGGCAATGGCTGGTGCAAGGTTTGCGGAGAGCTTGTTGAAAGCTGCACAGGGCACAAAGGGGGTCATCGAGCCTACCTTCGTGGACAGCCCCCTCTACAAGGACAAGAATTGTGACTTCTTTGCTTCACGAGTCGAGCTGGGGCCGAATGGCGTAGAGAAGATCCATGAGGTTGGCAAGGTCAATTTGTACGAGGAGAAATTACTGGATGCGGTGAGTTGACTATAACATACATCATTGACCCACCGACTGACTGGTTATGAATGTAGTGCGTCACTGATCTGGCGAAAAACATCAGGAAGGGGGTCGACTTTGTCCAGGCCAACCCATAAGTAGCCAATTTGGAAGGTCAACGGGTTAACCAAGGTCAGAAGCTGTTATTTGTACAAAATCGCATGCTAGCATGAGTTGAGCCTAGGAAAGTAAAGAAACGGTCACGCTCGTCAAGAGCCATTCAGGAAGCATGCTCCGTTAGGAACGTTTGGAATATCTTTGTTGTCTTACACTTGTATGGATCTCTTTGTACAGGATGGGGACGCCATTTGAGTTGTCGCCTCGTGAACCCCTTCGAACTCTACCGTTGTCCTTGCACAAAGACTTCCCTGCGACATCATAGGGTAAGCATAGCCATCCGGCAAGTCACTTGTTACAATGCCACGTAGCAGGAAGAGGCGCCCTTAAAATAATGGTAGGGGAGCCATTAATGCGCTTAGATTAGGTCTAACCGTAAGATTACCTAGTGCGCATAAGAATACATGACGAATACATGATGAATACATGACTTAGTCGTCTGTGATCCACTAAAACCTTGTGATCTCTGACGTATTTCGTCAAAGAAGTTGTCAAATTTATTAACACCAACTAGCCCATATCTTTAGGTACCCCTTCTTCTGGTGAGCAGAAGATCATGTTCCACACATTGGCTTGGCACGAATTGAATTGCCGCACTTGACGCTGTAACCTCTATCCTGCCCCTCTACACAACATCCGAGATGTGACTTCAAGCTTGCGCTACGCCTGTGCTCAAAGTGAGCTGTGTCAGACAGATGCAAAGCTAATCAAGGTCGTGCCGCTAACCAAAGTTTGCTGCACTTTGTCTAATCTTGACCACAAAAGAATGAAAAGCCCTAACGTATTACCCTAGAGGTGGAACCACCCTTGAGTAGTGCGGCTATCTGAATCTGATCTACTCCGGCTTTAGTCTCGACCGTCTTTTGACCTTGATGAGAAATCTTCTGCCATGGAAGATTTAGACCCTCGACAGCAGCTCGAAACGTTCAAGCAGAACGATGCTTACAAACAGCTTCTTACATTCACAGAGGTGAAAGATGCCTTTCCAAGAACAGAGATTGCTGTCTGCGAACGCAATCTTCGTTACTGATATTCTCTGCAGAGTCTTGTCACACGGGTCGTGGATTTGTCCTCTCAATTGGAAGTAGTCACGGGTGATTTAGAAGATCAAAACGCAATCCGTCGAGACTGGAAACGCCGTGCAGAAGCCGCTGAAGGTGCAATAGTGGGTTTCCAGACCTCTGTTTCCTCAATGTTGCCCCATCTGACGCGGACGCAGTCCCAAAACCCATTTATATCGGTCTTGATAGACGGGGACGGCTACCTCTTTCGAGACAGTTACCTTAAGGACGTCGAATCTGGAGGTGGAGATGCCGCGCATAGATTACTATCCGAAATAAAAGCTACTATCAAGGCAGCTCAATTACAGAGCTTGTCACCTGATTCCCAGGTTGTGGTTAATGTCTACGCCAACAAGCAAGGGCTTACCGGTGCTTTGCTCGAAGCTGGAGTCATTTCACGTCCCAACGATTTGGAGGAGTTCTTCTGCAAATTCACCCAGAGTCAGACACATTTTCAGTTTATCGATTGCGGACCGGGCAAGGAACGTGTAGATGCTAAACTTAGAGGTGCGGACAATTCTAACATTACAGAGCATGCTTGCTGATGCGGCTACCAGAGGCGTATCGCTTCTTTTTACGGAACTGCCAGTGCAAGCTCATCTTCCTAGCTCTATGTCATGATAATGGCTATATGGCCGAGCTGGATAAATATCGAAACGATGTTATAGCAAAACAAAAGACACAGCTTATCGACCACTACGCCAAAGGTCGAGCGTTCGCAAACCCGCCATTTCCCATGGTCAATTTCGAAGAAGTGTTCAGTAACAGAGCACTTCCTGTCAAGCGAGTGAATGGGTTTGCACCTGTCCCCACCAAGTCATCCTATTCTTCAGCTCTGGCTGCACCTCCTACAGTGGAAGCAGCATCAGGATTCGGCCAAGGTCATTTTAACCCGCCTCCTCTACAGTCAAAGCCTCCTCCCGACGCACAGTCTTCGCCTACTACGCCATTTGCATCGCGTACAAATTCATTTAAGGAGCTACAAACTCCATATCTTGCTTCAGGCGTTGAGCTGCCCACTTCTGGCGACCAAGTACCAGTCGTATGTACTTCATCTTCACGGACCTTGAAGGCCGTGTCCCATCCTTTACATGCTCCACTGACGATATTGTTTCTCTAGAACCGTCTCGACCAACGCATCGACCGCCCCCTCCAATCCCCCTCGCTCAACCAGCAACGCCACTTCGAGGACCGCATCACCTACCACAAACTCTGTAACGAACACTACCTCCGCGACTATTGTCCCGACCGCAACTGTCGTTTCGATCACTCCCCCATCGACAAAGAACTCAAAAACACTCTCCGATACACGGCGCGGAAGATCGTCTGTCGGGCAGGCACAGCTTGCAGAAGGGCAGGCTGCTATTATGGACATCAATGCCCGTTTCCGAATTGTGACACGAGGAGATGTCCCTTTGCCAAGGCGGGCTTGCACGAGGTGCGGGACCTGGAGATTGTGAGGTTTGTGTCGCCTGGTGGTTGAATATGTTGGAAATTGGCAAAGGAAGGAAATGGTGGTAGGTGGGACGGACGATTAGAGCTCTGTGATGGAGGCCTAACATGGGAACCTTGGATACATACAGCCTGCTGGCTTTTAAGTTAGGATGGATATCTGGCCCGGAGTCGGACAGAGGCTTGGAGAGTGTGAGAGAGAGAGCGCCTGCTGATTCAGGGGCTGAGAACAACAAAAATGCGATTTTTAAGTCGGACGAAGTCTTGGACGGAACTACTACCGCACGTTTTAAGCTTGGAACAGGGTGATTCTTGGGAACAGGAAGATGGGCACCTGCCTTTAGTGCTAGGATACCATAGTTAAGAGAATCGGATGGGCTACTAAGCTTGGACTTGATTACAGACCTGGTCCAATAAAACGTGTCTGTCTGTCTTTCTTATGGATGGAACGGTTCGGACGAGCCAGTCAGTCAGTCAGTAAGTTAGTTAGTCGATCAAGTGACTACTACGTAGTGATGTTGACGTGATAGCTTCAGAGAGGCTTGTCGGCTATCTATTTCCCGATCAGATCTGGCTAGTATGGCTGTATTCTGGTTTCGCACAAGCAAGATCAAGATCGAGATTGACAATTCTCGTTTTTCCCTCTTGCGACTCTCTGGGATACGCACCCTCCATCTCAATGCGAAAGCGCAGAGAATGCTAGCTCAGCAATGGCTATGTGCTATTAACTGCCTGGCCACGCTGACCGGGATCCAAACTCCATGGCTGTGACCGTGATTGTGGACCATCCCGGCCCATCGGGCTCAGTGCAAAAGGCAGGGAATGCTAGATCAGCAACGCCTATGTAAGTGTCTGGCTGCGCCAACCCTGATGAAAACTCCATGGCTGTGATTGCGAACCGCCCCGGCCCGTATCTATAGAACGCCCGCGCAATGCTGCAGTCCGAAACGGGGGAATCGAGCCCGCCTCAGGGCGAGGTGTTGTACATGCCATCGAAATTTTGCTTCTCTTTATCTTTCTTTCTCTCTTTTGATTTCAATACCCATAGCCATTCTGCCCGGGAGCGCCATATGGAGTTCCATACGAAGTCGCGCCACCGCCACCATACGCCGTAGCACCACCAGCAGGGTACCCACCATAGCTCGTATGATCGCCGGCACCACCATATGCCTGGTCCTGCACACCACCGGCACCAAACGGCGTGGCTCCTCCCGCTCCCACAGCCCCATTCGTAGCGTTCGTGTTGGTATTGTTGTTGTCATTGTCACTCCCACCTCCCAACCCCTGGATCACCAACGCCAATTTATTCTGCAGCACCTTGATGCCCTCTTGGACGATCTGGTCCGGATCCAGGGTACCCACACCCTCGACATCGAAGAAGAGCAGCGTCTGCTGCCGTGTCTTCGGATTCCCAGTTCGCGTTCCGCTGATCGACAGGCCATTCATCTTTCGCGTTTTCCTCGTACCAGTAATCCACGTGACGGAGTTTGTTGTTCGGGTCGTATTCAAAGCCCACCGCAGCTGTGGGTGCCCACTTGGCGTGTTCTTTGGCGATTCCCTTGATGGCTGTACAGCGGACTCGTAACTCTTGACCTCGGCGTAGTTTTGCGATCAAGGGTCCGTTGCCCTTCGGGTCGCGGATGATGGGCTGCCCGACGTATTCGTTGGGTCGTGCGTCCACGATGATTAGGTCTCGGGCGAAGACCATCATGGTGCCTTCCCGCTCGCATTTGCAGGCCAGTTCAAGGATCACGGCGCAGCGCTCGCAGTCACCACCGCAGTCGCATTCACGTTGGAAGAGCATGTCTGGTTCGCAGCCGCGGGAGTCGAGGGGGATGAGGCCGAGGCGGTGGGCGATGAATTCATCGGGTAGGACGGAGGTGTTGCTTAGGATTTGGACTTGGTCGATGGATACGGTGGGGACTTCGGCTAGCATGGCGCGGCGAAGGGAGTTGGCTAGGCTGAGAGAGGTGGATTGTAGGACGAAATCGACGTGGTCTTGAGTGGCCTGTACAAGGAGTCTTTTAGTATGTGAGGATGGAAGAATGTTGAGGGTGAGGGCAAAAAATGAGAAAGACAGCGTACTTCTCTAACAGTGACTTTGGGACCAGTAGCTTCAATGTCCATGCCATCTTCGTTGTATGCGCCACCAAAGCCAATGTAGGCCATGGTGAGGCAGGGGTGAGGGGAAAACCGTGGGCTGATGCTATGAATTATCCGCAGTCATGAGTGGAGGAGTGTCCAGCCAGCCTCTAGAAGATTATAAAAACCACAGGGTAATCGGCAACGTATTCTTCGTCTGAGGGAAGACTTGTAGTCCTCCAGCCCTACGAGAAATATCCTACTTTCTGCCATCTGAAAAATACAATACCACAATACGGGGCTATACCCAAGAAAGCTAGACTGTAAATAACTGTAATCACCACACAAGATCTAATCACCTCGGCCACTTTCTGGCCACTTTCCGAGACGATACTGGAGACGATACTGGAGACGATGAGCATTCCTCTACCAGACATGCTCTCAAGCTCCGTAGCTGAAGGGTCTTGTATAGCTAGGAGCATAGTCCTACCCACGAGCACTTACACTTTGCTCCGTCATCGTTTGACCCGGCTCGGCTTCAGGCTAGTTAGACAATAGCCAACACCACTAAGTTGGCGACCTTCAACAAGGAGATATCCACAAAGAATGGGCTGATATGTGAGTGCTTTCAGACGAATACTCGATTTCAGGTATGCTGTTGTGCTGTAGACAGCAAAGCTAGAGAGTGGGAGGATGATGTAGCTACCTCCCCCTTGTAGACTGTGGATGATGGCTTGTGTTATCACCATAACTCTACATTTTCCTACATTCGGGTGAGTTGGCACAGCTCTATAAGGTACAGCAAGTCTGAATTCGGGGAGGAAGATGGTGGATGACTTCTGACAAAGACGGACGGTTGCCCCTTCCTCTTATGTTTTCTTGCCTCAGCCTATATCTACCCAGACGCAATGGGGTCCACCTCATCACCTTAGAAGCTTCTCTGCACTTCTTGAAAAACTTTCGCTCCTTTGTACCCCACTTTATCCAACCTCAGCTCTACAAGTGAGAAGTCGGTGAGCCTTGCCCAAACACCTACTTTACTAGCTTGTTCTTCGTTGTCACAGCTCCCTCGATTTACCTCTCTTCGTCCTTGGCTATCGCGATCACGATGGCGTGTCTTCCGCAGTCGACCTTGAGTTGCCCCCCTTACCATGGATGTGATGACGACTGCACCGTCAAGATTGATAACCCTCTCGTAGAGATTGGGACCACAGATGACGGGGCAGCAAAGTACTGTGGGCATAGCGCTACTGTATGGTGTGCTCTGTGCTATGGGCGCTTCATATTTTCAAAGACGCAGGTTTGAAGCGAGGTCACCCAGGCCTTAGCCAGGAGACTAACTTGCGTGTCAGCCATGGCTATCGGACGCTCGGATAGTGAGCATCTGCCTTCCTAGGTATCGTCATCTCTGAACCTTCACGTTCATGTATCGTCACTGAACCCAGAATAGTGAGTTCACAGCACATGAGAAAGAGATATGCGTTTCACGTCCGGCTTCCCACGAAGGAGGGAGATTCTTCTGCATCGAGCCAGAGGAGGGATGCGAGTGCGGCTGCTGCTCGTATCACGCCCTCGCCTATTCAACGGTTAGTGTCGACATGTCAGTGGGAGACGAGAACGAAACCTGCCACCTTCCAGTCCACGCTGCCTGCTTGGAGCTTTGCGGACAGCATCAACGTGGTCACCTACCGCTCTCGGCAGAGTCTTTGCAGGATTCCAGCATGGGTGTGCTCAGCCGTTTAGCCTTTGAATATGAGGAGCAATACCAAGATTTCTGTGGAGACAAGCTTCACGATGGTATGCTCATGCTCAAGGCAGACTATGGGGCTTTAGAATGTTATGAGTGGATGGACGATGACCAGATGCCGACGATGGATGATTTTGGGGCTTTCGTTTACCATGCGAGTTGTACGAACAAGGTATGTTCATGCTAACTTGTCTTTGGCTTCCATCTCTTGACTTCGGTGTCTCACGGTTGCCATAGGTTTTCGACATGAATCCGATGACGATCAAGGCTAAACAGCTTACGGACTTTGTTTTATCTATGCTGCAACCTCTCCTGCTACCACGCCCAACAGCTGGTCAGGGACATGCTCGCGAAATCACTCACTGTCCTGGTGCACGCCTACCTCAAGAGCTACTCAACATGATTGAGTCCTATGCATCTTCTTCCTTCTCCAACGCCGACCCCGAACCAAGCAGAATTCTTCCCCAGTCCTGGTGGCGAGAAGCACTCATCAATAAGAAAATGCTCCCTTGGTTGTGGGACCTTGACGTCGACATGATTAGAACGAAAGACTCCAAGCCACCCAAAAATTGGTTTGGGGCATCTGGGACGTGGGTTGAGTGGGATTGGGAATTGCTGGTGCGGAAGCTGGCGCAGACGGACTTCTATAAAGACATCGGCATCCACACAGCAGGAGAAGGGCCGGCGCTTGCGTTGAAGAACCGGAGACGAATATTTTTGATAATGGACGATCTTGTCAGGACCCTCCCAGGTCAGCCAAGGATGAAGGAATCGATCAACTGGCAGGACACAGATTGCCCTGACTGGCTCTTGATCTGCCATCTAGTCAATACCTAATCAGCTGACGGTATGTCTGTGCACACAGATATTCATGGAGCGAAGCTGGGAAGGACTGAACTGATGTAGGGTCGTTGAGGTAACGTGGAGATCGGTAGCCTACATTGTTGAGGCTCATGTTGTGCAGGAAAGGAGGACCGGAAGCACTTACAATGTTTGTCCGATTGAGCTGGAAACGCGAGCGCATGTGGTTTGCTAAAGGTCCAGCTACGGATGACCTGTTTCAATACATGAATCGACGAAGTGTAGTGCATATGGCAAAGGAAGTTATTGCATCTCGGTTAGCTTTATATTACAAAACCACATGGAGCAAAAAGGCCCGTGTCAGTAGTCTCTGATTGAGAATTTCAATTATGCTTCTCTACATTAACATTTATACTGGACTATGACAGTATAATCCCGATGCCGAAACAAATGTCAACCTTTTTTTAGGGCTTGCTGTACAAAGATCAATAAATACCACTCCACAATAACCCATGGCCCATGTGTGAAGCTATACATTTTCCATCAACTCGACTGGCGGCCTCGACGTGTGTGCGGTGATCGTCCTCCCCTCAGGCGGTATATCGTCCAACGGTGCAGCATCTTCAACATCCGCCATGGCATCCAAAGTCGTGTCCTCCACCATCACGGCTGGTAGAGCTGGACTATCTCCGTGCGCTTCCGGATCGTAAAGAATAGTTGAGCTGCGGCTTCTGTTCCTTGCACTGCTTGGCGCGCTTGTTGCGCTTGTTGGGGTGAATTTCGAGTTCGACGGATCGTTGTCGGATGACGCTGTGACTCGCAGTGGAGGTTTCGACCTTTGACCGTCGGCGCGCGTGCCGACTCCAGCATCCTTCTCTTCCTCACTGATGGGGGAATTGTCCGCATCGGCACCATGCATCTTGCCGCTCAACTTGACCAACGCCTCGGCCAAATCACTGGCCACCACATCCTTATTCGGCGGGTCCTCCTCCCTCGCCTCCCATCCCACCGGCGGACTCGGCGGCGGACTGATGAAGAACAACCTCCCCGCATCTGGCCGGTCCAGATATTTCTTCTGCTCCCCGATCGGCGTCGGTTCCCCGAAGTAGACTCTCGTCCGCGCGTCGCCGAGCAGCGAGGCGCCATCCAGGTGCTGGCGGATCTTGATTGCGGACTCGGTGTCGTAGAAGGAGCAGACGATTCGGCGGAAGGATTTTAGGGGCGAGAAGGAGTGGAGTGGTGCTAAGGAGTTGATGTGTTGACGGATGGTGGCGAGGGAGGCCGGGTGGAAGATTGTGGGGTCGTTGAGTTGGGTGATTAGGAGGGTGTTGGAGGGTGGCGAGGGTTGGGTCAGCGGAGGAATCGTCGAGAGGTCGATTGAGAGGGGAGAGGCGGAGCGGCGATGGGAGACGGTCTTTGGTGATGATGAGGTGGAGATTGGTGGGGAGTCTGTGGATTTTTGTTCTTGGAGTTGCTGTAATTGTTGTTCGGAGTGTTCTTGGGACTGCGAAGGTTCGTGAGACTGTAAAGATGTAGCCATGTTGATGTTTGGCCAGGTTTAGTAGAGGTGGGGCAGCAGAGTGGTAGATATGGAGTGCTCTCAAATATTGCTGCGTGGTTGAATATAGAAGGGCAAAGGTTGATATGGGAGTGTGATTAATGGGACTATATGCTTGCGAAGCAGAAGATTCTAGATAGCGAATTGTCTTTTCATATTTCTCTTTTTACTTTGTAAGCTAGAGAGGATATCGCCGTCCAGAGCTGGGGCGCAGTCAATTGGTATGCTCGGCTGGTGTTAGGGTTGCACTGCAGTTGGAGTGGTTCAACTTGCTGCACATTCGTCATGGGCATGGCCCAAAAGGGCTTCTCTGATCCGAAGGCGGAGGCGGAGGCGGAGAAACTAAAGGCCGGGACGTTGTGGGAGAAGGCAGGCTGTGAGATCATCCAACTCAGCCAGAAGGGGGGATCCCACCTCAGTTAGTACGTAGTACATCTGCTCCAGCCTCCTTTCCTTTCCTTATTCTTTTCCCAAAGTTGGTTGACCCAGAACGTGCTAGTAAAGGCAGCCCATACCTGTCTGAAGATACATCCATCAACCGTGGTTCGACACCTATTAGCGTGGACCTTTTGGCCGGGTGGCTGACGTGTCCCTTTTCTATACGCACATGTCTTGACAGGCTCATTATATGATATACTCAGCACTCCACATGATGCTGCCAAGATGGCACCTGAATTCTATCCACGCAAGGCTGCACGGAGTGTATAGAACTATAAAGTCTTCTTTCAACTCCATCTGACTTCTCAATGTAGGGTATGTGGGGTTGCAGCTCGAAAAAGGACCAAGTTCTTTAACTTGAAGACCATTGGTCCACCAAGCCATTGTCTCGGCAAGACTAACTTCTCTCCTTGTATGCAGATTATCGCTTTGTGCTACACAAGATCCGTACCAATAGTTACGGAGGGTGCTGGAGAGCATAATGACAATATTGCTGACACTCTTACTCCGTAGGCACGAACATATGGCAGCAGAGAAGTCCTTGCCGACATCCGGTTATTGGCCTTTTGTGCTGAACAGCTAGATACGGCGCTAGATATGGCACTCGTTACAGAAAAGGGACACATCAACCACTCCACCAAAAGGACAGCCGCTTGTGGGTTTCGAACCACACTTAGTTGATGTATCCCCACTGACTGTTACGGGATGAACCTTTCGTGCTCACTGAGCTTGTGAGGGCGTGTCAAATTCACGTCTAGAAGCCGAGCAGCCTAAAGGGAAATAAGCTGGTGTACGGAGTAGGTCGGTGGCGAAAGATGTTTGGTGGATCACTGCCCCACTTTGGGCGGACCAATGCAAGAGTCGCCGGCGCCGGGAAGGCGAAGAGGAGGAACCGCGGAAGAGGAAGCGCATGACCACCTATCCCCTGTAAGTGGACTGTCGGTGAACTGACTGCAATTGCTATCAGTGAGATAATGACGCAGCACCACAGCATCAGAGAAATATTCTACTTCTAGGTCACCTAATGATGCTCCCAGTTAAGACCGGCTGCTCCCGCTTTCACTTTTCAATTTCGGCCCCTTTCATTTCAGGTTCGAGTTTGTGCTCCCTGCCAGCCCCCAACATTTCTGTTGCATATCGGCACCCCTTGTACGACTTCTAGACCGCTCTTCCCAAGCCATTGGCTCCTCCCCGGCCCTGCCCGCAGTTTCAGAGTTGCTTCAGAAAATGGCCGCGCCCTTCGTAGGTCTTGCACTGTCAGGTGCTACACCCCTGATCAATAACTACGAAAAAGCTTGGGACCCGCTCAAGTCGAAAGCCCAGAAAATGCGGGAGCATCACAAGGGTGGTCGTAGGCGGCATGATGATGATTATGATGAGCCGACGCCCGAGGAACGTGGATGGGTCTTGAAAAAGCGGTCGGAGGTGCAGTCCGACGAGGAAATAGTGGAACGGGTGCCTCGAAACCAGCAAATCATCCCATACAGACCGCGTGCAAATCGTCGAGCCAGTTCACTTGATGGCAATGACTATAGGGACAGACGTGTTGGTGCCTACAAAGGTCGACGCGACGCCTCAGATTCAGAAAGCTCTGTACCACCTCGATCCCGCGTCTCCCGCACCAGGTCCAAACGATCGTCTTCCAAGTCTACCTCGAGTTCCGACGACCTTGGATCCTCTACGGATGACGAGCGCCGGTGCCGAGACATAAATCGCAAGAAATGGTTGACCAGCGGTCTTGCGGCAGTTGCCACGATCCACGCCGCTGCCAAAATCTACTCGTCACTCGAAGCAAGAGACAAACGTCATGAGCAAGTCATGGCTGGGGACATGTCACCCGAGGAGGCACGCAAGAAACGAAATAGAGGACGGATACAAGATGCTGCTGCTGTTGGAGTTGCAGCACTTGGAATCAGAGGAGCAATGGGTGAATGGCGTGAGGTTGAGGAGAAAGCGGAAGAGCACAAGAAGTACCTGAAACAAAAGGAGGAAAATCACCGGAAAAGGATGGAGAAACAGAAAAGAATGATGGCAGCAAGTCGAGGGGAGTATGGGTCTGGGTCTGGGTCTGGATATCATGATGATCGAGATGATAGAGAACATCGGCAGAGAGCCATAAAAGATCATGGAGAATATGACAGGCACAGGAGCAAGAGTATGAGCACTTATGACGATGATCGTGACGCCCGGGCTCTTGTCAGGAGCAAGAGCAGAAGGCGCAGTGACGAGTAGGAGGATTGAACGATTTGTGCAGCTCTTAGCAGCTGTGTCTGGGCATGGTTCTACGTGCAAGCTTTACATTGAACAACACCGTGAGACCGCCAAAGAACCTCAATTATGACTGACGACAATTACGACACCTCAATCACCCTGTGCTTTATTCCATACCTCAAGATTCCAATCGCTTCGGCTTGGCCTTTCGTGAGGATTTCAGATAGATATTCTTGTACTGCTACAAGTAGAGGCCACCTGCAGAGCGCCATGGTCACTTACAAAGGATTTTAGCATACACCTTCCAACCTCAAGTATACAGATAGATAGATTTGAATACGTCTTATGGGACTAATCGCAATTCCTAGCCTGCGTCCGTGGTGCAATATTCCTGTCTTTGACTTACCTAAATCAAGGCATTCCGGTGTGGGAGTTGTAGATCCTCTCCCTCCAGTCTTGAAACCCGGGGCACACAGTTAGTAAGGTGGTACACCAGCCTCCACACGTGTTTGACAACGCAAAGAGTACCTCCGAGCGCTCTGTTGGTACTCTCTACCATGTTACTAAACCTGGCCGGATGTACGCTCCTTGCTGTGCCGTCTACCAGAAACATGCCCGACATAATGATCTATTCCTGAGCTGCCGATCAAGCTTCACTTGCAGGCCTTTAGAACATTCAGTGCATCAGGAATTGGTACTGGAAAGGAGGATCTTGGACACTTTTCGAAACACAACGCCCACTCTTCCCAAGTCTTGCCCCTTCCTACTGGAGCACATCCCACAAAAAGAATGCCAAGCTTTGCCGTGCCGTCTCACACTAGTCCCAACTGATACAAGCCGCGAATCTCTAACAGCAGCAACCCTTCTCCACCATCTCCGTACTCACACCCCACAATCCATCAGCCGCGTTTGATCAGCCATTTGTAGCGTCAATAGGCGCAGAATCCGTGCCAGTATTGTGATGAGGCTGACCTACCCCTTCGGCAGGTCGGCCTGTAGGACACAGTTTCACGATGGGGCGAACGCTAATACAACAGAACCGAGTCGAAGAGGAGAGCGGCGCAGCCCAAGGTCAGGCCTAAGGATGAGGCAAAGTAAGTCTCATGCTTGTCTACCACAGATGAAGATAAAACCCCCCGTGTCGCCCACTGCTCTGCTCAGCGTCTCCTCAGATCTCTTCTGTCTCAAGCTTCTCTCTTTCTTGACCGCAAAGGTTCCATCTGTTCGTTGACCTTCTTGAATTTACCGCCGTACAAGGACAAGCCATCAGATCCACCAGGTCGTGTGACTGTATTCATACCCGGACTGCGTCTTCCTCTCGTCTTCAGCTTCACTTGTCCAATCATCATCTACAGGCTGTGCCTAAGACGCCAACCCACATCACGAGTTCGACTAGGCCGTTGAGATCCGACCTCTTTCTCTCACTTCTATCGTTTCGATCGAGCCTGGAGCTTGCCTGTCTACCGTGAAGCCACTGCGACTCGGTATCCACTCACTTCGTCATACAGTACATCACTTCACCCACGATCACCCAGTCCATCACATCCAAAATGGCTAGCGCAGGCGTTCAGACCGTTAATCGCGTCAAGCTCTCCCTTCGAGGAGACTTTTGGCCTCCACTACCGGCCGACTGCCCATTGTCTCCACTCCCGTCGCCATACTCCCCAGTGATGACAAAGTCGGTCGGTTTTCAGTCGTATTGCGCCGGTCTTAGCGGCTTGAGGGCTCCTCCCCCGTCCCCGGCCACCTTCGGTACCATGAGCAAGGATCAAAACTCAGTGATCCATGATGCCGATACTTGGTCCAAGCTACTGCAGGTATCAATGGAGCGGGAACGATCAAATGATCCTTGCAGGCAGTAGCCCTAACGTGGACAAGGGAGTGATGGGAGAAAGGTGCAGCTGAAGAGGCCAGTTTCCATTCATTGTTCTGCCCCAAGTAGAAGAGCTTGTTGACCTTCGTGGACATTGTTCCGAGTACGGCTCATGGCGGCATTCATTCATCCACACATTTGTTTGTGGAGGATTTGTTTATATCATATCGATACCACATTACCCTAGCTCTTAGGGCTTTAGCTGGACGACGTCTATATTCAGCCATAACTTCTCTTTGTGTCACTGAGAACTATGACAAGACAAACTTTCTTTCATCATTGTTTCTTTACTCCAATGGCCCAAAAAGCCGGCTGCTGTGTCCCTGGTTTCTTTGTGCACACAATGGTTTTGTATATGCTTGTATACATGCTTTTGCACATGCTTGTGCGCCATGATCGCTCATTATCAGTCAGCATCTTCTCTTTGAAATGCCTTCTCCCTGTCGCTGTAAAACTCTGCTTCTTTCTGTTTAACAAAATCTATGATTTTCTCCTCAACTAAAATCAGCGATTCGAAGCACAGACAAGCTCCTCGTACCCCTTATCAGATACATCCTTATCGGATACATCCTTACTGAATTGGCAAAACCAAGTAATACCATTCCTGTCTCCATCAAATAGGGTGCACCTCCTAGTTCACCCCAAAATCCAGCTGTCCAAATCATGGATGCTACCGATGCTATGGAGTTACAGCGCCATCTGGAGTTCTTCACAGGGCCTCTTCCAGCAACTCCAGCAGTTAACACATCACCAGAATCCCTTCACGATCAGGCGAAACCATCCTTAGCATCATCTCTCGCTGGACAGGCTATATCTTGTCTGTCGGATTCAACAGCGTCAAGCAGCTCCACTGCAAACAATAAGAAGACCAACCTGCTCAGCCTCCCCCATGAGATCCTCACCATGATTCTCACCATCCTCCTCGTCCGCAATGAAACTAGCATTGCGCTCCCAACAATCGACCATTACAAATTCCCTGATCTCAAACCCGACATTTCTCCAGCAGTCCTCCAAACTTGCAAACGACTCAATGATATCGGCAAACCCCTTCTCTATGGCCGTAACATCTTTCACCTCGAGCCTCATATCCGACCGTATGCATCCTCGACTCGAGGTTTCACGCCCCTCAGTCACAAGAGCTTGGCTCTGATCGAACATCTGGAGGTTCCCGTGGAGGGTCTGGACGTGCACCACATGCCTCCACGTAATGGTGCGATTTGTGTGGCATTGAGTGAGGCAGCACGTTTCTATCCTTACCCTTATCCCGGTGGAGGGATGGGCAACGTACAATCCATTCAGTGCGTCTTTGAACACAGCATAGACACTCAGACTTGCGTTCTTACACATCTCGACACGGATGAGGAGTTCCGTAAGCTCGTACTCGAATTCCTCTCCCACCGTGGCGATATCGCATTCGCTCCATGGTACAAATATGCCGACTTTAGGCGCCAACTGTATGACTGCATAGTCAAGTGGCAGGCTTTGCTGATCGCGGCTACTGTTCGTCAGCGTTTTCCAGCTTTCAATCGAATGCTCCACATGTGGCGAAAGACCGAGGGGGATCATCATCCGCGGCTTCTGATTGTGCTTTGTCGCAATGCTGAAGGATTGCAGGCTGCTATTGCAATGAGCAAATCGCGTGGCATGCAGGTTGACGGGGAGCTTGAGGTGGATGTGGAGCAAGGCACAGTCAAAGTGATCTCCGGACGGCGGGCTGGGTATTATTACAAGTAGGTAATGGTTGCTGCAACGAGTTCGCGATGGTGGGAGTCATGAGCCGGAATGGGTAACTGGCAGGATAGGAAAGCTATCGTGGCCCAGATAGGGATGCTCTCATGTTAAATCTCAGGAATTGGTCGAAGAAACAATGCATACATGCCTATCATGTAAGATTTCTCTTCCTCAAGAAAGGTTCAATTGAACATTAACGTATCAGATGCACGATTTGTCTTTTGTTCCTCACGAACTCACACTTCAACGCTTACCCTCTGAATAAGGATTCTGTTGTCCGTTCCTTGTTTCTTCCACACCTCAGTGACACCCCTTCTGACGGACTTCATTGACTTCCAGTAGTCTCGGCCAAGCTGAGGACACTTTCTGTCTCCAATCCAGGTCCTATCTTCCATCTCCAGCAGGGCTTCACGTGCAATTTCTCCTTGACCCTCAGGTCTTCTCATAAGTTGTTGCACTTTTTAAAAATCTGTGTAATCTTTTGTTTCATCACACCACGTCTTTGTTACCAAGTATTCAGCCCCATTGTAGGGTGCCGCCCCTCTTGCTGCTTCTTTGTATAGCATTAAGTGAATAAGCTGGGGGCGATGTTGACTTTGCACAACAACCTAGATAACCTGTGGAGAGGTGTTCCATCTCTCCAAATCAACGGGCATGAGAACAATGATAAAGACTTCGTTGCCTCTGCATGATATTCAGCCAGGGTGGCGATGTAGTGAATCGCTTCACAATTAACCGTCTTGGAACAACTTCTTGTTACCAGACATGCATATCATTCATTGCTAGGAACGAACACCATTTGTGCTCTTGATCATTTATACTCCATGGCTATATATAGGATGTGCACTTACCGTTCTTAGTAGTTGTCGAAACTTTTTCCAACTCTTTCTCCTTACCGCCGCCTCTGCACATACTCCTTCGCTGCAACTCGCCTCTCGTGCACCACACAAAAGTATACAACAAGCAGCCTTCGAAGATGACATCCAAATCTGAAACCGTCCTGGTGCCCTCCTCTGCCAGTCAACCTGGCAACAGCAAACCTAGCCTGCTTAACTTACCTACCGAGATCCGGGTGATGATACTCGAGCATTGTCTGGTTAGGTCCGAGGATATCAACCTGGTATTTAAACCGGACTGGGGCGGCTTAAAGGGCGTGAAGACACGGAGATACGGTCTTGTACCGGAAGTGTTGTGTGTGTGTAAACGAATGTTTGCCGAAGGGACCTCGCTTCTCTACGTCTCCAACATCTTCAGTCTTGGTCCACTCACCATCGATCTACAATGGTTAGTCCAATCATGGCTCTATGAACCTGTGCCGCGGGCGCAGCGTTTGAAGACGAATTTCCGGCGAATCTCGAAGATGCAGATCGCCATTGGCGAAATGCGCGAGGCCGACTCATATCAGGAAGACTTGCACTCACACTTCGGAGTTGCTGACCTGGCTCTTTACTCTCGTAGCATGAAGACGGCTCTGCGGCATTGGCCTCAACTCAATGACCTGCAGTGGATCAATTGCAAAGTGGACGATTCTAATAACATCTGGACAGCCCGCAACCACGTCGGAATAATGACCATCGCTCAGAAGTTGCAGCTCTGCAAGAGGTTTGAGCATGGCCATCCTGATGAGAGCACACTGAACGAACAGGAGCGGAGCTGTGCGGACTATATCTTCCGGCTTTCAGCTTTAAAGGTTGCTAGGCTCGTGCAAGAACGTGGTGGAGGCTTTACCCGGTTCTATCGCGCAATTCGACCAATTGAACAGCAGTGTATCCAGCGCTCCGTTGTTGTCACCAAGGGGCCAGTTGAATCAGTTCCAGGGTTCAAACTGGACAATATGCAGGAAATCCGTCATGTAAGTTCTGTTGCCGAATCAAGTGCGGGACGATGCTGATATTTGTTAGATGGGCGAGCTCGAAATTGACGTGGATCGCTGTGAAGTAAAAGAGATTACTGGGCCGCGAGCAGGGTATTGCTACTGAGGAGCAAAAGGATGATATGTTGAGATGCTAGATCTTGGTATGGTCCGGCTTCGTCCATCATGCAAAAGAAGAGTGGCAACGTGATATTCGATTCCCACCATCCGTGGTGAGACCGTTATACAAGGCTGGTGGCTTGGTGACCATGGTCTCAAAGCAGGCTGGCCGGGCTAGGCACAGTCCTACCGGTTTGTACTTGGATGTCAGAAGCTACGGGGTTGATGATAAGCTTGCATAGAGAGTAAGTGGTGGCTTAGTTATAGGGAACCTCTTCAAATGGTTACAGGTCAGCGATGAGGCCAATGCTGGAAAGAAATAATTTATAAATTAGGAACTTCAAGTTGTGCAGATGTTCCGCCAAGGGATCGTACCAAAAGTTATGGCCGCTCAAATTCATAACAGACATGTAGCTCCGGCCACTGCTTTCGTTATGTCACTTCTCTTGGCATCTTCACTTGGACGTTTCAATCAAGTCGCACCAAATCCCAGAAGTGGCTGCCTCCTGCAAAGAATCTTCACCATGGCACGGAGTTGAGACAAAGTACAACTGAACGATGCCTTCAGTGGAATTATATGAGCTGCGTACTGATATTGTTCCCACAGAACTATTTCACTAGGCTGTGAGACTGGGAATCTAGTGATCTGAGGAAATGTGCCAGTTTCTGAGACCTTGCGGTGCCTGCTTCCGCATTGCCAATCGCTCCACCGCGCTTTGAGGTATTCTTTTAAACAATGCCACTGTATGCTGGGCTCTCTAACCCTACGACTTGATGGTGCAAAAGCCGATTGTCCTCTCTCGATTGTGCAACCACCAATTTGGCCTTGAAGGGTATCGTACTTGGTAAATTGCAAGTCCTGGCTAATTGAGCTGTATATAGCAAGTGCTACCTTTTACAGGCTGTTCTCGCCTTTCTGAGTTGCATTGGCTACTTGGTTACCTAGCCAATCTCAGTCATTCGAGGTTTCTGGGAGTTCATGCACTGGTGTGGTGCTTTTCAGCCCGAAACATTTCATCCCCCACAGCAGTGCTCAACCGTTTCGACCCTTCTGCTTGAGGCAGCATCTGTCCTACATATGTCACGGGCCCGTAAAGGTGGCCATATCAGGCATTCTCATTTGGCCAGATGCCTTCTTGAGGTATGATCACCTAATCCGCTCATGTCATGCCGATAATTGTGGTCCGACCTCAATGCAATACGGAAGTTCGCTTTCTCGTTTCATGCCTGTTAGAGGGCCATTTGAGGAACTAGCGTCCATTGAATTGGATATCCAACTTGAATATAAGGAAGCTGTTACCATTCCGTTCTTTTAACCTGTCTTGAATTCCTTCATCGTATCCTCGTCATACAATCTCGCTGGTTCGGTCATTGACGTGCACCCTTTCCTACACATCCATTCATTTTGTACTTTGTGTCTTCTTCGAGTACATTGCCATTATGGGTGTTGCTGACAAAAGTATATATCTTTCCACTGGCACGAGCCAACTTCTTACACAGATTATACTGATTTTGCCCATAGTTTCTCCAAACTTGAAGTTCGCCATACTGGGCTTGACCATCCCCATCTTCACCCTCTATGGTATGCCTCTTACCCGCCTTTTGATGGTCCTTCTGACCGAGCCTGTGTAGTGCTCGTTCTAGTGGGATGCGTGTCCACATCACCAGGCGTCCCGAGCCTCTACCTGTTCTTGCTTAAGGTTAACGAGATCACCCTTCGAGTGGGCTATTTTGGTATTTCTTCCCAGTTGGTAGACTGGGCATCATCAGAACTGACGATATTAGCTGTCTGCGCCGTGGACGCCGCGAACACGACCAGCATTCCTGTGTCACAGAATGGAACCGCCAACGCAACTGACGGAACCATCTGTATTCCAACCCTTGGCTTGAATTCGTCCGATTTGAGCTTTCAGCTCTTCGGCAACAGCGATGATGTCGTGCCGATCCTTACTCTTGCCTTGACTTTGCAGAGAAAGATCCTTGTTCCACTCGTCCTCGTTGCGTCTCTCCTTATGCTGTTTGGTGCCATCTTTTTCGCCCTGGTCAAGGTCACCCAGATGAAGCTGAAGAACCCCTCCGCCTTTGAGGGCGCCATGAAGCAGCTCAACATCTTCAAACCCGCGACCCTTGCCACGTTATGGACGTCGGTCCTCTTCGCCTTCGCTGCCGCAGTCGCATCGACAATGGGCATTGGCGCCCTGAACTTCATCATTCCAGTCCTGGCAACTAACATAAGCGTGGACGGCGGTAAAGTCCTCCAAGCGCTACAATACATGTCCTTCATCCTAGGGGCACTCTTCGCCCTGGGCGCCACCATGATGCTCGGCGACCAGCTCGAACAACAACAAGGCGTGCTCGGCGATGAGTATTCGCAGCAAAACGAGAAGGTTCTTGCGGAGCAATCTTACGAAGAGCAGATGATGCAGCAGCAAGCCCAGATGGATGGCCAAATGGATGGCCAAATGGAAGGCCAAATGGAAGGCCAAATGGAAGGCATGGAAGGTCAAGAACAGCAGTATCCAGAAGGCCCGTATGGTGAAGAGGGCCAGCAATATGCCCGGGAGATGGAAGGGCAGGAATATGCCCAGCAGCCGGAGGGGCAATATGCTGAGGGTGATGAATATGCACAGGCCGAGTATGCTCAGCAGCAGCAACAACTACAGCAACAGCAGCAATATCCGCAGCAACCATATCCTGGGTAAGCCCCAGATCAGTCCACCACCGTTTTTGAGTATCTCGCCATCGTTTCCACCATATCGTATGGGCGGCGCAAAATCTTGGGGAGTGGATAGGTGATCGAGTTTGGGACTATTTATCCAGTTATAAATCATTGCATATAAATCATTGCATATAAACCATCGCACCGAATAAGGGTGCTATTGAGCTCGCCACGGAATCCAAAGAAATATCTTGCCAACTTCCAGCCCTTTTCTCACCTGGCTAACTATCGTCTGATCTGCCCGAGTCCTGTAGGCGTGACAACCAAACACAGAAAGACCTCCCGGGGTTCCAGATTATTAGGACTTTGCCGCATTGCATTGGCACATCATGCGTCATGAAGCAGTCTAGATGAATCCTGGTCTTCTATCTGTGTATATTGTTTTGTAATATCTAAGTCCTTAGTAGAGCTTACCTCTTTAAGATTTTGAAAGTTTCCCCCCTCTCTCTCCTATTCATCCCCCCCATCCATCCATCCATCCAGCCTGCTCATCTCTCCCTCTCTCTCTCCATAGCCATTGTTCATACCGGGGGGGGGGTTTGAGGAGTTGGGAAAATACTTACGGAAAGGAGTTTTTGTTTTTTCCCAGGTCGTCCGATGGAGAGATCGGTAGGGTCTATTTAGAGAGCTTGGGAACCTTTTTTTAACCAAAAAAAAAAAAGAAAAAAGGTAAAGTAGGAAAACAGACCCAGGGGTGGTAAGTAGTTAGTTAGTAGGGAGGGCAGCACCAGATTTACTTTGTAAAGAAAAGGAGATGCGAATGATTACTTACTTAAGCTGTGCCGTCTACTTCTCCTCCGCAACTTTGACTGTACTCCCTTTTCCTGGCAAAAAGAAAACTCTCTATTTTATTGATCGGAGCAGGGCTGTAGGATTTTGTTGGACCAAAAGGACCGCGGCCCTCAGAGGACTGTAAACTAGCTTTTGTCTGACAGATTTTCTTGGGCTTTGCCACATGCACGAGCCAGTTTTTCCCAGCTGAACACACACTCTCGCTCAGAACCGTTTCTTTGCAGAATCGCAGTCGCGGTTTTCTTCGGAGGAGAAAAAATAAAATAAAAGGTGAGCTAGAAGCAGAGGAAGCCAAGCGGGGGGGATGCTGACGCGGTGTACATGTATGTCATGCGGCAACATCGATAGACTGCCGGAGGAATGGGTTCGGAGCACAACTAACCAGCGAGCAACGAGAAGGAGCAGGAGCAGGAGAGTTGGGTATGATTAGGACCATATGGCAGTGGGTTGCTGTAGCCGATCTGTGGGCCCGGGGTTTTATTGAACTCGTACCGGCCGTGTGAATGACCGGGGTTTGTGAAGGGGGGGAAACCCGTCCAGGTCAAACGCTGGGGCGGTTCGAATTGTGAAAAGTCTGGGATAATGATATCCATGAGAAAGAGACGGAAGGAGTAGGCAAAGGCCTTCGTGTGTGAAGAGATAGGAAAGGTGGGAAAGTGCCATCATAGCTGTGATGCAGAGCAATTGTTTGAGTGGAACAAATTCTGGTCCAGTCATCTGCTGTACGAAGATCGGTTTGTTGACGAGGGACTCTGCAGCATCAATATTAAAAAAGGACTAAGGCATCATAGCCATAGCTGTTGAAAGGGCAAAGTTCGCTGAAGATGGGTATTGCAGAAGAGTACAAATGTCCACACGAGTGATTATATATGTTGATCGGATTAACCTCCCCTTACGGAGTATTAGACTGCACTACCTTCATCTCGTCACATCCGCATTATTGATATATGTGTGACATGATGCACGAGATAATCCGTACATCTTCAACACAGCCACATTAAAGGAGACGATGAGTGTGAATACATTAAGATTCCGATTCAATGCTCCTTGCCCCCTCCCTATTCATCACGGCATTTGCTTAACAAAGTTTGGACCATCAAATTGCCAAATTGGGGAATCGAGTAGATGAAAAACAGATAACCAGAACCAGGCACCAGGAACAAATACTGCGTAACAAACTCTGACATAGTTGCAGTCTGACCAGACTACCTGTAATACTGCTGCCCGTCATAGCTGTTATGTGATCTTCCACCTGTTGCCCGATAGTAGTCTTCATCACTGTTGTAATGGCCCCTGCTCGAATCACCATATCCAGCGTTGAATTGATATCTCTGTCTGGGTTCCCTTTCACGTGCGGGTAATTCGTATATGCTTGACCTCATCGGGTCGTGTCTATCGGGCGGATAATGTCTCTCATAATCACGTTGTCTGCGTGCATCTTCAGTGGCATCTCCGGAAGGCGCATATGCACTTGGACTAAATGCGCCGTCACCATCTGTCCGCCAATGCTCCACTCCTTTGGTATTGGCCGAGGGCGAGCGATGACGCATTGCTCTTCCAGATGGATGAGGGTGACTGAGTAGAGAACTGGCTCGATGCCGAGTATTATGAGCTGATTCCGGGGTCGAGAAGCCTTCGATATTAGACTGGGTTTGCTGTCTTGCATATGGCCCAGGATTGATAGGTATCGGCTGAGTCCTCTGTGGGTCGATACCTCTCCCGGAACTACTTGCGCCGGAGGGTGACCGACCAACCCTAGCCGTCGGAGCTGAAGCCGTAGCTAGAGTCGGAGGAGCAGCCCGAGACTCAGGTGGTGTTGGTGGTCGGTGGATATCATCATAATTGCGACCACCTCCTGGCTGGGCAGCATAAGGCTTTCTTTCCCTCTCAATAGGCTGTGGCGTGGGCACATCGTCCTCGTCCTCGATCGCACCCTCAGATTGTGTAGTCACATATGGCTGACGTTCTCGTTCTATGTTCGACTTCTGAGCCGCTGCCGCGGCTGCATTTTCTGTTCTCGAAGACGGTGGTGAAGAAGTGGCTGATGCTACGGAATCCGCCCGATTAGCCATGTTCCAGGGTTGCGGTTGTTGTGAGCCCGGTTCACCACCACTTGGCCTTCGATTGAGGAGGCTGATGTTGCAATGTGTAATCATGGCCTTCTCAACCTTCTCGCGAGTGTTTGAGTCGGGAGTCTTTGGGAAAAGGCGTCTTGATATCTCCTTGGGAAAGCGCTCTTTGCGGTCGTCAAAATTACAGATCGGCATGTCCAACACAGCTTTCTGTAGTCTTTCAAATTCTTGCTCTGGGTGTGCCAAAAGCATCAGTATGCTCCATCTTTCAAAACCAGACGGCGTGAGAGCAGGGATATCAGGTCTCTCATCCATTCTCCCCTGTACTAAATGATGTTGAGCTTCAACCTCACGGTACAGACGGGATATTGAAGAGGTGCGGTCATCGAACACCATTTGCCAAGGATATACTTCGTTTGAGAGCTTTGTGTCCTCATAGTATTTTTGCATTTTTGATGGCGTGATCACTAAGCTGTACTTGGGCTCATAGTCTTCGATCAGATGTATTGCCAGACCCCGGAGGAATTGACCAAGCCTTGCTGTTGCACGGTTACCTTCAAATAGAGGTCCCCAGATCTTCTCTAGGGTTGTGATGTCTGTTGATTTCCTTGTAGGAGCCTTCGGTCGTTCTGATTTGTCGTTGCGGGCTTCGTCAGCTTGGCTGACCTGACCAGGTGGAGACACTGCTCTCCTCTCCTGATCGGGAGAATACCGGCCTTGAGCTGAGTAGGTAGACTTTGTGGGCGAAGTGGGCGAAACAAGCACGGCTTCATCGGAGGGTCGGCGTGGCGAGGGAGGAGTGTAAACATTGCGGTTTTGTAGTGGAGAAGAGTTTTCTGAGTGCACCGAGGAAGAACTCGCCACGCCGTTTGTAGGGGCGTTGAGAGGAACAGCAGGGCCAAGGGTTGGATTGATAGCTGGGCTGTCTTTTAGCTTCTGCAGAACATTTGCAGTGATCTCGGATGTGATTTGACTCAGAACCTCCGGTGGTAATGCACTGTTGGCTTCAGCCTTGTCGACGGCTGAGTGAACTGCGTCATCGATTGGTTGCCGAGCTTTCTGGAATGAAGCAGCATCCATTCTGCTCCGCTGACCTGGCGAAGAGTCCCTGTAGAGCTGTCGCTCGCTCTGTGAAGGGTGTAAAGAGGTATAAATGGATCCAGGATATAAGGTCGATTGGGAATGTTTTGGTCCAGGATAGGAATTGACAGATGACTGCTCAGGTGAAATACGGTAGCCGTCAGCAGCCATGACGAGTATGGTTATGTGTCCTTCGCAGACTCCGTTTATCTTATATCAGGACTAGTCATAAGTATAGGGAATATCGATTCGCTCGCTTTCTCGACCCGGGACTGCGGGTGCTTGCGTCAGTGGAAGGCTGCTGGCGTTCCAAGATACGTTGTAGCTTGACAGCCTTGTGGGAGTAGGTAAGGGTTATTGCAGACGATGTGTCGGTCAGCAGGTACTTCGAGTGGTTCATGCAACGAAGATCTAACGATCATAGGACGATTTGTGTAAAGGCTAGAGCGGGTTAATGCCGGAGCAGATCAGATTTAAGAGTGTAGTGCGAACCATGAAGGTTGCACTGTGGTCGATGACTATTTCGAAGGAGGTTTGACAGCAGGACGCAGTAGCACAGTGCTAAGTAGGGCGTTCCCATGCGTTTTGGGTACGGCCAAGTGACTCTGGGACTGGCTCAAATGCGACAAGGTTGAAACATGTCCCGCAGAAGAACCAAACACCAATGAAAAGGTTCGCGTCAGAAAGTTGCATGCGCTTAGCACATTCCAGCAATTGCACTGGGTAGTGGAAGTAGTCCGGGATGAACTGAGTGAAGGGGAAGATATCGCACAGGATCGAGCAGTAAGCTGTAAGAGGCAACACCGCAGAAACGGGGCGCAATAGAAATACGTAGTTGGGTGGCAGTAAAGCGTATTCCCTTCAAGTACACCACGTCATTGCCAAGGTCGGGCGCCAACTGAAAAGACTGTCTTCCTGGAAATAAAAAGGCTTGTAGTCATTGCACGGAGTAGTAATAAGTACCTGGACGGCAAGAAAAGGCAGGGTTTGAGATGAGATGGACTTGAACCCTGGAGCCGCTTTCCACAGGCCCGTATCACTACGTAGTACTTCGTACTTGGGAGCGGTTTGTGGAACAGGAGTAATTGTCATAACGCGCGATCGACCCTCAGAGTACTCAACGTATCCTTCACATTCTGGATTTCGCGCAAAGCATGCTTGATTGTTGCACAGCCAGACGGTTGTGGGGCACCGCGGCTGGCCCACGAGTCTCCTAAACGGTAAAGGGAAATGGTCAGCCTACTCGGAACCGGTTTCACGGGTATTACAGATTCAGGTTGCAAAAGAATGCACTTGACGCCTCAGCACCGTCGCAGCATTGTATGATACAGCAGCATGAAAATACTCTCGATTCGCTCTCACTATCTGTGATTATCGAAGAAGTGTAATTTAGTAGCACAAGGTTCACATGCATTTGACAGGCAGAGCCTTCCTGTTCCCGATGACCGACGTGGAGTTCGCTATCGCTTGAGACTTTTCAGCCAAGCCGATCCGTCAAGCTGTAGTCATTCTGGCCCTGTTGGCATATGCCTATCTCATGAAGCAAAAGAGGTGTCATGCATGTCCTCCGTAGCTCAGTCCTCGAGCACTGTTTCTGCCTTGTCGACGCAACTCTCTTCCAGTCGAATCGGACCGAAGCTGGGTGCCGAAATTTATGGCAGTTCTCAGATTTTGAAAATTAACTCAACTTCTCAAAAGTATTAAGTAGACTAAACATCATTTTTATATCTTTATAGTTATCTTTATATCTTTATATAATTATATATTATTATTTGACTATTAAAAAGTATATGACAAAGTTTTTAAGTTATTTTAAAGTTAATTATATATTAAATCTTTTAATTTAAACATAATAAAAAAACTAGAAATAAATTTTTAACTTGAAATTAAATAGCTTTTAACTTTAAAAATAGAATTTAAAAACATATATAATATTAATTTTAATATAGAATTTTAATATTTTTTATTTATAATTATAAATTTCTAGATATTTAGCTTAAAAAATCAATAAAAGAAATTTTAGTATTTTAAGTGTTTTAAAAATATTACGTATTTTAAAGTTATTTTTATCTATAAAGAGTTTATTTAATACTAATAATCTAAATATACTAAAATTTAATTAATCTGCTATCAAATAATAGTTTTGTCATAAAGTTTGAGTCAAAATTCATTAAGTTATTACTATTTTAAAACGTAAGTAACAAATCTGAGAACTGCCATAAATTTCGGCGCCAAGCTTCGGACCGTCTCCGTGCTCCTTCATCAGCTCTTGAGAGCTAGACTGCTGCAAGCAACGACTTCGAGATCGCTGACATATGGCTTTCACAATTCCCACTCACTGCCGCTCGATTCTTCTTCTTCGTAACGAGCACGTTCTTGCTCCTGTACTTTCCGCAGAGCCTCTCTTTGCTTTTCGGCCTCGCGAAGTGCGCCTCGGTCGGGCTTGGCGGCTCCTTGCTTAGCCCAGTTTCCCGACTGCTTTGATGCACTTTCCGCTGCGGTGAGATTGGTTCTAGTGGACCCAATGCGGGTACGGTAACTCTGTTCGGGTCGACCAGCGTTCATAATGTTGTCCCACGCTGTACCGGTCGTGCCTGTGGAGATAGCCGATGATGCTACAGAGGGTGCTCGTTGTCGTGTGGAGTTGTCTTCCCCAGAATCTTTGCCCTTGTGCCCACTGGTATGCTGGCCCGTCCACACCCCATCTTCGTTGTCGCCCGCAATGCTAGACCTGGTGCTGAAACGTAGTAAGTCACTGTTTGGGTTTCCAGTGGGCGTGACGATAGATCTGGCGTCGGATCCTCCCATGTGTGAATTCATTGGTGGCAACGATCCACGGAGTGAATCGTAATTGTACAGACTCTGTCAGACATTTGGTTCGTGTCCCATATGCATTCAAATTCTAGACAACTTACGTGTGCTCCAATACTCGTTTGCGTTTCTAGGATTCTCTGCTCTTCAAGAGCATCTTCTATATTCGGTTCCACATCATCAACCTCCTGCTGACAATCTTTGCACAGCTGAAAAGACCATTAGCAGGACTCGTCTTCGTCTGATACTGCGACCTACCGCTGTGTCTGGCTTTCTGCGTTGAACCTTGGTGAAAGAATTTAGACCCTTGGTTAGGTCACAGCGGTGGCACGTCAACTCGTCAGCAGGTCCTCCAACGCACTGGCGGCATTTGGGCAATTTTGCATTCGCTTGATCAAAGAGCAGGCGTTGTCTGTACTCATTGAGTTGTTTTTGAGAGTACTTTGCGTGCATGAAGTGCCGGCTACATTGGACACATATGATCCTGGTAGGAAGTCAACCACAGACAAAACTCTAAGGGAGATACCATACTTATCTGGCAAGGTCACGCGGCTCAATCTACAATTTCATTTGGTCAGCTATGGCGAAGACCGAAGCAATTGGGACATGAAGGATAAGTCACCGTTCTGCTGCTTGGGAAGAATAACCCCCAGTGTAGAGTGAGGCTTTAGGAGGCATGTTGAAAACTGAGCCGGCAGGGGAATGTGGAGATGGTGCTCTGATAGAACGGAGGTGCTTCTGCTACTCAAAGGCAGTTGAGGTTGCTCTTCTCACAAACGAGATAGTGAAGAAAGTTGAGTAAAGATAAGGTCACAAGATCAGGTCCCTTTTCAGAACACAGAGGACCTTGGAAACTTAGCTTGCCCAGTCTACAACATGGATAGAAAGATGGGATATCCAGCTGCAAGCAGTAGTTGTTGTTCAAATCAAGTCAATAGCCAGTGCCAGAGACTGTTAGGTCGAGGGTTGACTTTGAATGGGAGTGAAGTAACACTGGATATGGAGTGAAGGCCAGATGGTTCGGAGTAACTTGAGGTCAATTGACATGTATGCCAAGCCTGTGCACATTCACTTTTATCCACTACTTACGTCACTGGTTAGTATTAGTTCACCAGGGGGTGCAGAAACTCATGCAACACTATTTGCGCCGAAACTTAGCCGAAATGAATCAACAGCTCAACATTCAACTTCTACACGAATTCATACAGTCAATTCAGCAAGATGAGTCCTCCTACTACTCCTAATAGAGCTTCTAGATATCAAGAAGCTGATACTGTCAAGAAATCTCGATTTTTTGAAGCCTATGATTCGCAAGCGCGCAACAAAGAATCTCTACAATCCCTTGCATCCAAACATAATATCAGCAAATCTATAGCTTGTAGATGGCTTCAAAAGCGTCAAATTCAAGGATCTCCTTCTTATCAAAGAAGTAGAAAATGCTCTACTCGCCTTAGTCGGCCGTCAAAGCTTACAAATTATCAACTTCAACGCCTTCTTTCTCCTTCAAATCCTGTTCGAAATCAGCATTATAAGTGTCACGGCTGCCATGCTTGTCGGCCGCTAGCGCTAGGGCCGCCGGGTATTGATTGGCACTACGCGTTAGTAAGGGGCATGCTCGCTATATAGGAGCGACCCCAGTGCCATCCTCGTCGGCTCTGCAGTCTTAGGATAGCACTCAACATGGGCTGAAGATCTCGCGCACTCGTCGCCTGCTTCCAACGTGACACGTGACAATAAGCATCAAATTTAGTACTTTAATCTTTATTGTTCAACTCGTACACTTCAACAAGCCCTTCAAACCTGAACAAATCATGCTTGACGCTATAAATGTGTACAAGTTAAGCAGATTTCTTTAGCAAATAAAGCAAAACGAAAGGAATATGATCAAGAGCATCAGAACAAGACTATTGATGAGTTTTAGGCAAATATCTATTTTATAGATGAAGCTTATATAGATCTATCAGAGGTCTTTTGACAGTATATTTTACAGAAACAAGGTACTACATATGCGCCTAAAAACATTCAGGAGATGCCTAAAAAGAAGGGGGTTAAGCTTTATATTGCTGCTTAGATCAATTAGTATCACAAAGCTAATAAATTAAAATTCTATAATGACGAAAATGACTATCTTAAGCCTCTGAAAAAACCTAGTAAGCTACGCAAAAGTTAATACAAAACAGAAGAGCAGTTTAAGCAGCGTTTGATTGATTAAGAGGCCACTATACCTTATGCAGTTAAATTGAAGCCGAAGGGCAATTCAATAACCCAGAAATATTATACTGAGCGCCTTCTACCTATCTATATCAAAGCTGTTCAAGAGGCGCGAATCTCCTGCGAACAGCATGCTATTCTACAAGAAGACAATGATCCTTCGCATGGTACGAAATCAGAGATTAATATTACTAAACAGCTTAAGGATAGCAATTGGATAACAGTGCTTGTTCATCCTGCTCAATGGCCTGATTTGAATCCTATGGAAGCTATTTGGGGTATTCTTAAACAGCGAATTCGAAGAAGAAGATGGAATAACCTTGAACAGCTCAAGGAGGTCCTGCAAGAGGAATGGGCCAATACTACTATGCAGGAAGTTCGAGCTCGTATTGTTGAGATGCCCTCTCGATGCAGAACCCTAGCAAATTCAGGTGGAGAGGCCATCAGATCGTCTTTGTGGTGATAATGGTGATAAGTTTGTAGCAAATTGCCTGTTTCGGTTAAATTTCGGCGCAAATAGTGTTGCATGAGTTTCTGCACCCCCTGCTGGTTGATTCAGAGTGGATTTGCTCAGGGCAGGTACAAAGCATGAGCTTTGGTAGATTCACAGCTACACTTGTAGGTTGGGTAGGAAAGGTTCTTCAAGTTGTTGGTCTAGAACTTGAAGCTTGTGATTACCAACCAAGTTGAAGAGCGCACTTTCTGCGCCCTGTGTTTATGGTCCCTTGTGTCCCAACTAAGACAAATACAGCAGAAATTGGTCCACTTTCATGCGAGGAATAAGGTTACTTGTCGAAGATAATTGGGGTAAGGACATGGCTAGACAATGCCAATGGCATTTTCGATATTGGATTTTGGGGGCTTCTGAGTACCATCAACCATCTTTGAAGTCAAGTTGCTGTCGGTCATATCACTACCTTCACAACTCGAGTATTGTCAGTGAGCTTTTGTATTGAAGACAATCTTATTAAGCGGAAGATTGTTTTCCTATCCGTCGCTAAGCGATAGTAATACTGCATTGTACGTAGTAATCACTTTCCCTACTGCGGGTGCGGAGCGCAGGTGAAACACCACCGGCTACTGATGTGCTGGAGCCTCTCAACCATCAGCAATCACCCTTGATCGGAAAATTGTAAGCCAGACTGCCGGAGACGGCCAATGACAGGTTGTAGCAGGAAAAATCACGTAAAGTAGCGTGATGCGGTCTGCAAATCCCACTTTACGCTATGCTCACTTCCGTGCTGGTTTCAAGCAAGTCAAGACACGGATCAGTCCAGGAACGAAGACACCCTGAATAGGGGGGCCTTAGTAACCAGTCCGCATCCTCACAACGTGGATCCCAGAAACCGGTTTTGGCGCGAGTCCTGTCAATAATACCAGTCCCATGGTAATGACAAAACTATCCGGTACCCGCATTACAGGTGCGTACGCCACACGCAACCCCAGTCTGACTGCGGGAACACCTCATCTGCGTCCGAGGATGCAGGTCTCATTAATGTTTCCGAGCTACATCGAGTCGTCGGCTGTTGAAACGTTTCTTTGTTGCTGTAATCGAATCAGCATGATGACGATGAGCGCCATTATTGGGAAAACCCTGGCTGCTGTGATGAGTTATCAGTCTCGGCACACGGCCGAAATTGCATGTCTCCTTTAGGCGATTGTTGGGCAGACATTGTGGTTTGAGAATACCATGCACACCCGAGGAAAACCCGACAGACAGCGGAACAAAGGTCCTTTTGAAATGGTCGAGCATTTTGGGAGAGACAGACGGCCTGCTCACTCACGAATCATCATTGAGTTTAGGTGTTGCCCTTGCAGGAATGACCTCCAATTATCGTGTACATATCGTCATTGACCCTTGGGCAACTCATCCGTATTCTGTAATACATCACCCCAATTCGCGGTGAGCAGCCGTACCTCCAACAAAAATAGCTCAGCTTGCGATCAGATCAAATACAGCAGGGTCTAGAAAATCCTTTCTGTTGGAGAGTATCCAGCTTGCCTTGATCGAACCATGGTCGCTGAAGTACAATGTTTACATTTACAACGGTGTAGAGTACCACAATACGCAGTACCGCGGATCATACGAGCCAAGCAGCAGCTTCCTGCAAGGTTTCGGCCCCTGGCTTCCTGGCTTCGTGGCTTCGTGGCTTCCTCCTGCCCAGCCCCTGTTTCTAAGTTAATTTAATTCAGAGTTGGCATCGTGCCAATTTGACTAGTTGACTAAGGTCCGGGCGGGTCCCAGTCTCTGGATAGCCTCTGCCCCAATACAGTCCAACACGATCGTGTGCAGGACTACTCCGTACATGGTTCATGTCATCCAAAATCCCTCGTTGATATAACACTCGCTCCCTCTAGCCGGTTCATCAGACATAAGCTTGTCAGGCAGTCATCTATGTTCCTCTTTGCGTCTCAAAAGCCAGTCGAGGCCTCAATCTCATTCCCCAAGTCGTTTCTATGACCAGGCCTGAATCAACTTTGATAGGAAAGAGATTGACGTTGTGATGAAAACGAACGTCTACACGGGGTTGCGACAGTTTCCAGAGACACTCGTGCCTCGTCACTGACCCAACGCTAACCCTCATTCTTTCTTGTTCTCGACCTCGACGACCCAGCACTCACCTCAACACAACGCTCCACTTTCCGTCTACCCTAGCCACGGGCTTGTCCTCTCATTAACTATTCTCAACCTGGCTTGCAAATCCTCTCCCATTCAACCAGTCGGTGAGCTATCGACGCTAGCTGTTCCATTTTCCTCTTGGCGATTAACACCTCCCTTTCGCAGACTCCCTTCTACCTCCGGCATCAATTGCTACATTGTCATTGCACTCGCCCAAGTCAAGCCGCTGACCGATCATTCAAGAGAGACGTCAAAAGAGTTATTGATTTTACAGCTTTGATACCTGGGAGGCACTGTCCACCAGCATGAGTTGTCGTTGAGGTTGCCCTGCCCCATCACTTGAACTGGCTTCAAGGCCTCTTGCTCTGTCTGGCCTGCCATCAACAGATGCGGATCAGCTGAAGCTTGCATTCACACAAGCTTCACCAATATCAGGCACCATGACAGTGGCTTTAGACTGCGTTCAGCGGTCTGCTGCCCAAGCGATGGTGCCATTGGAGGACAGATTTGAAGTAATCAAGGAGATTGGTGATGGCAGCTTCGGCAGCGTTGTACTTGCGCGGGTTCGGGGTGCAGGTGCAAGTGTGGCACGGAGAGGAACAATGGTAAATCCGCACGTCCGTAAATTCGTACTATACGTTGTGGCTAATCAAAAACAGATTGCTATCAAGACGATGAAGAAGACTTTTGATTCCTTTACTCCATGCCTTGAACTCAGAGAAGTCATCTTCTTGAGAACGTTGCCGACACATCCTCATCTTGTTCCAGCCCTTGATATCTTCCTGGATCCGTTGAGCAAGAAACTTCACATATGCATGGAGTATATGGATGGGAACCTGTACCAATTGATGAAAGCACGCGATCATAAGTGCATGGACGGCAAAAGTGTGAAGAGCATCTTGTTCCAAATCCTCGCCGGCCTAAACCATATTCACGCCCACGAATTCTTCCACCGAGACATCAAGCCGGAAAACATACTCGTGTCGACATCGGCACCCCACGACTCCTCAGCTTTCAGCAGATATTCCGCTCTTGTCACCCCTCCTTCTACGCCACCAACGTATACGATCAAGATTGCAGATTTTGGTCTCGCTAGGGAAACTCACTCCAGATTACCATACACCACGTACGTTTCGACCAGGTGGTACCGAGCTCCGGAGGTTCTCCTGAGGGCCGGCGAGTACTCTGCACCCGTCGACATCTGGGCTATTGGAGCCATGGCTGTCGAAATAGCCACACTAAAACCACTCTTTCCTGGTGGCAACGAAGTCGATCAAGTTTGGCGCGTCTGTGAGATCATGGGAAGCCCTGGAAATTGGTACAACAAGTCTGGGACCCGAGTAGGTGGAGGTGACTGGCGGGAAGGGACAAGACTCGCTCAAAAACTAGGTTTTTCATTTCCCAAAGTGAGCGATGATGCATTTTCAGCTTCATCAACAGCTAACAGGCTACAGATGGCACCACATTCTATGGATACTATTTTACAACCGCCCCAATGGCCAGCTTCCTTCAGCAGTTTCGTGACATGGTGCTTGATGTGGGACCCCCAAAACCGACCCACCTCAGCTCAAGCACTGGAGCATGAATATTTCGCTGATGCTGTCGATCCTCTTCGACCCAAGTCCTCGACCGCTCGGTTGCTTGGTCGCAAGCATTCAGACCTCAGCTTCAAGGTTTCGAAAGATGGGATTGAATCAACAACCTCGTCAACAAAGCCTTCTTGGTTTAGGAGATCGTTGATAGCTCGAGACAGCGCCCCTGCTGTGCCTCAGCATGATCCGAATGCGAAGCCGATCCAGGTAGATTCCAACCATGAATCAGAGTCAGCGGCATCAAGTAAGGCCAGACCCGTCGTTAACAAGCGCTCGACATGGGCAATTGGTGCATCTCCTACCATTGGTGCCCCCATGCCCATTCTTCCATCGATCCGCCCAATATCTCCCTTATCAAACGCGGTGACCGCCCAAGCTAACGGTCGTGTCAATCCGGGCGGTGATGTGCGAGCAGGAGCTGTTGATCATGCAAGCGAGGAAAAGGCCAGGAAGATTGGCCGACAGTTGTCGCTGAACTCTCATGGAAATCATTATGGAGATGGCCAAGCCGAGAGAGGATTGAATGGGACTCGCAGCCCGCTCTCTCCATTGAGCGCTCACAAGGAAAGCTTCTTTTCCCATCTCAGGAAACGTGCACGTCGATTTTCTGGTCGACACGGTGTCACCTCACCCCAGGCCGATGACATCGAGGCCAATGTGCTTGGTGCACCGTGGTCGAACAGATCTTCGATCGTTGGTGAACCTATTGTTCCCGCAGTTGGATCCGGCAACGACTTTATAGAGCTTGACAAAGCGCTACAGAGCGTCAGGTATAGTCTCGAACACCCTTCGAACGAACCTCGAGCACTGCCTGTCGTTCCCTCCCAGTCATCAAGTCTTAAGCGGCACCATTCGCTCCGTCAGGTAAACGCTCCTCGCGATCCTGAGACGACCACTACCGTGACTCCTACTACGAGTCGTACACGAAGAGCGCTACAGATGTCATTACATCCCGTCCATCGCTATGAGACTCCGGAAGAAGAGGATGAGCTTCTTGACGAAGTTCTGGCTTCGGCTAATGCGGCTGCAAATAGACTTGCACAGTCCTCAAAGGCGGAAGAGAAGAAGCGTCGATCAGCGTTAACACAAAGGGACAGCAATCATCAATCCGTGCCGAAGATCTCCATCCCGGTTAAGGGGTCGGTTCCTGCCGCGTATCCTACTCCGTCCCCTTCCGCAAAGAGAAATGGTGTTTCCTTTGGGCAAAAATCAACTACATCCTCGCAACCAGTGCCTATAGCCAGTAAACGTCCGGACCCTGAAGACGTCGACCCTCAGTGGCCTACACCACCATACGAAGATAATGAATGGGGAGCCACAGCTGCAGCTAGCATCTTCGCTGCTGGCCTCGTTTACAAGTGATTCCACCAAAGCCCTACCCAGCTTTTTCTTATCCTCGACGTTGTATCCATCTTACTTGTAGCAACCATCGCAGTATGTCTTACTGCATTTGTCATTTATCGTTCGTCATTACCGGTTCGATTTGGACTTTGATTTCCCCAAGTGGGAAAGAGTCGGAGCTATGGCGACCATTTTCAGGAGCAATAACGGAGCACCTGAATTGCACAGTTCTAATCAAGCATCGTCTCAGGATTTATTGCATCTTCATGGGTGTATGCCTGGGTTTATTCTACTTCTACTACTGCATTTACTTCATACCCCAAAAGGCCATTTGTTATATATAGACTTTATTCGGCCTTGCGTTGCTGTCTTGAGCTTCGAGAACTGCTTTTGTATGATGTAGCAGAGGAGATTGAAGGGTTGGTGGAGCATGCATTCAACAGCCATGTCAACTCCACCAGCGCATCTATTTCGATATGTTGCTGGCCTGTGGGGGAGGACCAAAGAGAAGGAATTTGCAGGAGACGGATGACGATCAGCAGTGCTGCGTTACAGGCAGCACATGTACATAGTTACAATGAATTAATGAGGTTCATTCCAACCAAGGTACAGAGTAATAAGCAATTCCAATATACTATTTTAGTGGGTCCATGAGGACAAGGTCGTAATAGAGTCTGAAGTTGATGAACCGATCTGCCATATCTGGGGCCAGGATTGTCTTGATTGTCCTGACTGTCCTGATTGTCCTGGTTCAAGAAGTTGTCCAAGTTCTTCACGAGGTGTTTGAGAGTCTTGGCATGAAACCTTAATCAGGTTGAACATGAATGTGAACATGAACTTGAACTTCAATCCAGATACCAGGAGACACGAGTGTAGCTCATCTTTCATGGGTCTCCGTCTAATTTGCTACAAAATGTCACGCCGTGTTGTAACATCACTTCTCAAGCCTCCCCACCGGTCCATTCTCCCCAGCAATGACTTGCATGAACTCCCTCTCCAGCGGCCATCACTATTCCGCACGAAGCTCTCCTCTCCCTCAGCGAGACATTTCTCCTCCTCCTCCTCCTCCTCCTCCTCCTCCTCCTCCTCCTCCTCCTCCTCCTCCTCCTCCTCCTCCTCCTCCTCCTCCTCCTCCTCCTCCTCCTCCTCCTCCGTACCCCGGTCCACCGATCCCGGAAGCAGAAAAAGCAGCCCAAGCCAGGAGGAAATATCCGCATACCTTCCCCAACGAGGGGACAGGGATGTATTGGTTCCTGACGAACAAACACGTACATCTGTGGATCAGTCTTGTATGTTTGCCCAATCTTCCCCCTTCCCCCTTCCCAACCCCAAAAACCCCTCTAACCCCCGGCCTTGCCCTACAGGGAACCCTCTTCACACTCTCCTTCATCACGCTGACGCAATCCTTCCTCTCCACCTCGCCCTTCGCGCACCTGACGCCGCCGATCGCCAGCCTGGCCACCGCGCCTGCCGCGCTCATCC